GTAATGGGTGTATTGACTTAATAATGAAGTGGTGGCAGTATCTCGAGCAAATTAAGATAAAATCACGGCGCATTATATCATTATCTAGCCTAAATAGGAATAAACATGCAAACGGATATATAGTTGAAAGCAAAATTTTATCTCTCAGTTTATGAATCATCAACTTCCGACGATTTAACTGACAATGAAAAAAAAAACATAATAAAATGTCACAAACGGAAATTTAATAAAATTAACCTTCAATATGATTATATTATATGTTGATATATATATAAGTTTTTATATATGCAGTACGGGGTTTCAAACATTTATTCCTTGCTTTTAACAACAAATGGTAATGTAGGAAATGCTGTACAACTTTTTAATGAAGCTATTTTTATGCGAAGCACAAGAAATGTTTGATTGGTTGGTTTCCCAAGTTAAATACAATAAATATCACTATATTGCTGATACCATAAGTTGTGGATTCAGACAGTGATTCACAAATACATTCGAGAATAAACATGATAACTGAACATCCAAAGCTGAAATTTGTTTAATTCTAAACAACCAAGTCAAGCACACTTCCCTATATATAGTAGCTCCTAACATACCAATGGTTACGTACAAGTAAAAAACAAGGAGAGGAACGACTCGCTAAAATATGAAGAATATTGCTCCGTTATTTCAGAATACGGGTTTGAAAAATTACTGAAAATATACAATTCATTGTTTCATATCCCAATGACGCCAGTTCATTCAAATATTTCCTTCGGATTCAACCTTGCACAAATTTTATCAATGAATTCATTTATATTGAAAATTCTATACCGGAGGGGATGTGGCATAAACTAAAATGAATTGCATTTAAAGCACATCAACCAAAAACTCAATTCTCTATATCTCTTCATTTGAGGTCCGTCAATAATAAAATACATCTCGAAGTTCCTCCATGCCGATACGGGCAAATATACGGGATATCAGACAACCATTAGGATATTTGACTAGCCACAATCGATATAATGACAATGAGCAGCACAGCACAACAGACCATCATACAGATTTTTTTCTGGAAAAGAAAGAAAATAACACTAAATAGATTATTTAATATTAGAATATAATATGTGACATAGCGGAGATCGTAAACAAAAACTTGAACCTCCGAACTACTGGCATTAAACGCAAACTAGATATAACGTTACTTAATTAATATAATAAGAGATTTGTGATATTCATAAATTAAAAATGATTCAGAGAATCCACAAAAATACTACTTTTCAATATCTCAAATACGGCAAGTGTTGAATTTAACATTGCGCCCAGTTTTGAACCGGGCAAGTAAAAAACATTGGAGTCAGTATTAGGCAAAAAAGACTTCTCCAACTGGCGTCGGTCATCTTTCAGCTTAAAATCCATACTAAACGTGCAATCAGCATATATTTAAAGTAACATTACATATACATACCTTTACATGAAGCACAGCATGCCACGAATATGACCCAGTGCGCTGCTAGCCTGCGAATTACGGTGGACGAACAATACATTCAATACAATTACATGCAAGTTTACCACTATTACTATGATAGAGCTCATGAAAGTAAACCGCAAGACAAACACATCTGAATAGCATGGAGACGGCTAACGTTTTCGTAGTGAATTGTCGCGCAACCTTCATTCGTTAGTAACACATCGATATGCTCAATGAAGGTTGAAAACTACGATAAGAATTCAAGTCCAGGCGAGGCGCCTAGACGCTACGTAGTCACTGCGTTGAAGCAAATATACAATGCAATTGAGTATAAACTTTCATTAGAATATATCAAATCGTTACGACCCTCAAAAACTTTTTAGTTTTAAAAGTCTCAAGAACAGCCCCAAATATGATCAAACTTCAGATGCGCCATGCCACTCTGCATATGCACACATAGACAATATATTCTGTCATATTCTTTGATCCAATCTCAGCTTTCCCTTGCCAAATCACATTTGACTCGGCCCGCTACAAATTTTTTCTTATTTCAAATTGTTGTATAATGAGTATTCGAATACTATACATGCCATCCGCAGGACTGCCAGTGCATAATCAACATACTAGTTTCAAGCAGTTTTTTCGCATAAGAACATTCGTACAACAATGTTTTTTTTAAATGATACCCAGAAAAATATAACATATGATAATATAATCATTGTAGAATGAACGGATGTTCTATTAGCTGATTAGCCAAAACTGAGCTATGTGTTATCATACAGCCAGGGGTAAACCAAGGGGGTGGCTTAAGATCACTTATCTTATTTCTGTACTTGTTAATCATGAGACGGTTTATATAGAATAATCAACAGCAAATAAATCTGTCAGTTGAGTATGGGTCAATCTTTTTAGGCAGTTTAATATAGGAAACAGCGCATATGAAATAGGAACGACCTGGCGTGCTACCATTACATTCTAAGTTTGAGTATAAATATAACTGAAACATTTAATCATGGTTTAGTCATGGAAATGATTATTGAGAAGTATACTACGTTTTTGTAATTCAATTTTTTGTTCATTAAATCAAGTAACATTTGTAGGCACAGACCGAATTAAATTACCACAAAAAATTCCTGTAATACGAATTCGGAATTTCATGAATTGCCTATTGTAAAATAGTTGATCAATACAAAACATTCAGGATGTTCAAACAAATAGACAGGGAATATAATTATTAGCATAGAAAGGCACATTGATAAAGAACTTTTAAACGTTAAAAACAATATTGTTAAAGTATCATTTATGTTACTTTAATTTACGATATTGCATCCATTTTAGATCTATCTATCACTTTTTTTAAAAACAACCAGACTATGTAACTATCCTTCAGGAGCACTCATGGTGTACTCAAACAATGGCAATCAAATTGTATTCACATACATATGCGAATAAACAACAACTCCAGTGTTAAATATAGTTAGATGTTAGTCGACTCAGGAATATACATTATACTGAGTGTCATACTATAACATACTTCAAACAAAAATGGCTTAGAATCAATTGCCAGGATAATAGTTATTGCAATTATCTGAGTGTGAACCAGAGATAGTAATACAGTCGTATATGACAGCCCTTGAAGACATTTTGAGCTTGTCCTATTTTCGATTTGAATCAAATTAGTGAAAAGCACCAAATTCAAACCAAACATTTAGAAACAAATTTCAATAAGAATGAAGACAATAATAAGTTCAATCACTTTGCCAAAGCTCTCTCTCCCAATAAGTTTAACCATAATTATTGATAATGCTCGAAAAATTCCATGCTATAATAAGCATAAGATATTCATAGGATATTATTCAAATTCTCAAGTTCTTAGATCTTATTAATTGTAGATGGAAATCAAAGTCAATAAAATAACTTGCTCTCAAGCATTAATGGGCATGGTGCCTTTAATAAATAAGCAAAAAATGTATTAACCCATAATTTCAAATCATGAGAGATTGATCTAGATTTTAGAATATAAACCCCATCACAATATTTTTGAAGATAGAATTTTATATATTTGATGTCCATAAGTATATATTCTAATTGGATATTTACTTGACAAAAAATTTAAAAACTTATAATCAAAGCGAAACAATCACAAATCAACCCCAAACCAGATTGAAAATTTAAAGACCAGAGTTGAAAATAGGAGTGTAATTAGTTTTCAGACCCTACACGTTTATCACTAAAATCTCTTAAATCATAAACAAAAATTAGAAAGTACAGAAAAACAAACAACATATAATAAGTAAACAAATTCTGAATAGTATAGAAAAATAGTTAATCAGTAGTATCGCAATGTACTGAATATTACAGATATTTTCAATTTAACCATGCTCCAGTCTGGTAACGCAATAGTATTTTGAAAATCTCACTTACAAAGCAACATTTACCCAGGAGCCTTGCATTATAACTCATAATAATATTATCAATATATATTAATATTGCATGTGCCCCTAAAATAGACAACAAAATAGAACAAAAGCTTCAATATTCTCTTTCAGTAATGAAAACCTAAGAATCATAAAAAATAGATTAAGACAAATTGAAACCTACTAAAATAAAAAATCCTGTTTCCATATGTATTTCCGTATCTAAAATTTTCATACTGCCTCCTTCTAATATTTTGGCATGTTGTGAATATTATTGAAAGAGTGGAATATTAAAAATGAAAGCATTTAAATATGTACGAGACCATCAAAATTTAAAGTTATCTCGAAGACTTAAAAAAATATAGATGAATATATATTTTTAATTGATAATTTTTGATAAGCTATAAGACATATTTGCAAGCAAAGAATGAGTTTGTGAAGAGGTAAAGATATTGATTTGTCTTGGGAAATCTATTATCCAAAAATATGACTTTATGTACTTTAAGAAATAGCATTACTGAATCACACCATAATTTTTGGTATACCTTACAACAGGGGTCGGCAACCTTTTGTCTCTCGGGGGCCAAAATTAAAGGTTGCAAGTCTTTAGCGGGCCACACATATGTTTAGAAAGTTAAAAATCGAATAGATGACCGATGAATCACATTTTATCACACAGATCAGAAGTTAAATTTTAAGCTGCGCGCGCAGACTGACCATTTGAATATTTTTTGCGTCATTAAACCATTTGCACTTAGCATCAACTTTTCTGCGTTTTGTTGCCATTTGTCTAAATTATAATTAAATTATAGGTTCATTAAACGAGTAATTGTGAATTATATAATTGTTACATTATAATATAATTTAGTCTACACGTAAATTATTTTGCGTAGAGAATATAGCAAAACAGCTATAAATTGTTACTATAATTCAGTGAAGCTTCGCGGGCCGAATTATATTGCTTCGTAGGTTGCCGACCCCTGCCTTACAATATAATGGAATAAGCAGTCATAAAGCAATTTCATTCTTTACCAAAGTTTCCACTAGTAATTATAATTTCCACCTACAATAACCTGTTTTCTCAAAAAAATTGAATTACTAGTTTGAGTGACAGGAACTGGTAATTACAAAACAGAAAATACCTAAAAAAGGGAACAGATTTTAAACTCTGAAAACAAGGCCATGATGGGTAAAACATTTTGAAACTAAAACCAATCAATGTTTTCAATCATACTTGTGTGATGTCCTCCAGGCAATGAGTCTCATTTGGAAAGTGCCAACTTATTGTAAAAGTAATTACAAATATAACTCTAAAATGTGGTTACACCCCAATGAATGGAAAATGAGTAGGCATTGATCTATGAAAAGACTGCAGGTTATGAACTCTAGTCCAAGAGTAGACTCACATACACAAATCATATCCTATCTTTATAGCTTCAGTAGCTCGGTGTGGCAGATTCAACAAAGTTTGAAGGTGGGGTAAACAAACTAAAAAAACATGTGATGAGCAATTTCTAATCCGAAAAAGAGTTAAACTTTTAAGAACTGTTGGTTAAAAATAAAATTTTAAAGTTTGTTTTGACAATCTTTTATTCTAAAACGATGGATAGTTCACTGACAAGGTTGTATGGCTGTTGCTTGGGCGGTGGGTACTAATGGAACGAGTTCTTTTTCTGTAAGTGTAGTTTCATTAATACTGTAGTAGTCATGTTCTGAAGTACTTTGGTACAATAAATTAAAAAGAAAGACAGAAGTACAACGTGCGTGACATATAATAGAAGAAAGTAATTAAATTGAAGTATCAACGCATAAACTCAAGATCGGTGAAAAATAAAAATGCTTAAAAACAAGGCATAAAAGAATGCTAATATAATTATATAATAGTCTATCGTGAGATACAAAATAGAAAAAAAATGCTTCAGTATTGAAGTCCGAGTAAACAGAAACAATGAACATTGCTAATATCCAATCGCTTATCTTCAAGCTAGCATCAACTTTCACTGCCATCATGTGGTGATATTTAGTCCTTGAACATTGCAATGGAAATCTATGTTGCAGCAGAATTATTGAAGTATTTTTGGTCGGAATCAGAATGTAAATTGCTGCAATATAAAACAAGATTCGTCACAAAAATCTAATGAAAAAAGAAGCAGTTTCATTTTATCCAGAAGGCAAAAGTCAATAAATGAATCAATGAGTGGAACACAGCTTCTCTTCCAGTTATAAGAGTCAATCCGTGGCTATGTGAATCACACTGGTAATCTGGTATAATGAGAAACTAGAAACAAAGTTTGTTAAACACCGGTATTTGAAAAGTATTTTAAAGTAATCATACACTGGAAATAATGGCCAAACATTGGTAAATTACATCAGATTATGTGACACAAAAACTCAATCAATTCTACACATGACTTAAATTTAGAATGAACAGCAAAGAAAAATCAGCAAAGCATACTGAAAATTGTTTAAACTTCAGACTCAGATGTGGTTACTGGTTATAATTAAAAAAAAATACTCACCACAATTCACGTCAATGTAACTGCCAGGACAATAGCAAGTATGATCAGTGCTACAATGATACAAACAATGATAAAGATTTGTTTCTGAAATAAAGAAGAACTTGTTTAAGTATTTGATAGGCATGTAGCCTATCGACGTTTAAATCCTATAAAACGGACTCTTTTACCTTAATCTCATTTTTAAAAATACTGAGAAAATCAATTGTATCACTATATACTAACAAAGGTAACTAACTTCGGTCAAATATTATCTTCTTACTATGAAAAAACAATTTAGTGCAATCTTTTTTGGGGGTTTTGAGGAAACCAGTGTGACCTAATACATTTGTTTATATGTGTATGTTTACTGATTTTTATATTTATTGTATATTTTTCAAGAATAAGGAAATGTATTTTGCGGGGATATTGTCTGAATATACACTCAACTAACTATAATTTCGAATGCAGGATAGGCTTAAGCCATGCGATTTATATCAATATTGTTAAAAGCATAAATGCTGACATGCTGCATGTGGTTTGTTTAGCGAAAGCTTTGCATTAACAACCTTTCGTAATGTATTCTTCAAAAGGTCACTGCAGAAACGTGATAATTAGATAATTCAGTTGACAAAAACCAATATTAAATTTTTGGTAAGAAATGATACTATTGTCAATATATTGTAATTACTTCATATCATTCTAAGATGTTCCAACTAAAGTGGAAGGCAGTCATTCACGAAATATCCAAATGTTTTGAACATGCTATTTATTGTTTTCGCATCAGTAGCTGGATAACGGTACACGGCAGTGCAGACATGCGTCCAAGATTAGGGATTTTGAAAATTACCATACCGGTGCGGGAATTAACAATTTGCATATAAGCGATCGCAGCCCTGACTGCCCAACTGACGGTAAATTATAATAGTTTAGTTACTGTTAGGTTAATTTAAGGCGGGTTTTATCAATTTTTATTGCTGATATGTTAACTGTTTATTTTTATTTTAATCGCGCCTTGGCGGGTCATGCATAAAACACGGTGGGTCACTCTGTGACCCCCGGGTCAGTGGTTCGCCATCCCTGCTATGGGAAGTATATTTTTGAATTCCAATACAAAGGAAAACTTAAAATCTGTTCATGCTGCAAACTGACACATTCCAATCATTGAGATCAGTTATTTGATTTGCTAAATCAATTAAAACTGATGGGTATAATTATATGAAATTAATTATATAACTTAATGGAAATAAAAAAAATTGAACATAATAAATTTGCAAAATATTTGTATTCATTCTTGATTGATTATTTATTTGCATGGAGAATACTATCTTTTAGTTGGAATCATTTCAATGATCAACTCAAAATAACCTCTCACTGCATTCAACTTAAATGATCAATTAAAAATAAAAGCCATTTTAAAACCTTGCTGCTTACAAAATTAACGATCTATGCTTCGTTTGCCTCATCTGTTGTTAAACTCTCTGAATCTTAACCATAATCGATATAATGCGAAGACTACTGGTAACTTCAGTCAATAGTATTCACTAATTAGGATTTTTAGGTTTGGTCTTTGTTCTTTATTCCTCTCAAGCTAATAAACTACATTGAATGTTCAAACTCTGAGAAATGTCTGCAGCTTAATTTCCCTTTACTCTGTATTGATTATCTATATACCAAACTCACATATTTTATGTTATGGTGGTTATAAGCAAGCAAAGTCAATTCAAGATATCCATCAGACAACTCAAAAATGTCATTGTTCCACATGACAATACCCTCAACTTCAGATTCCTGACAAAGCATAATCTGACTCCAGTTTTTACACTAACCTGTCCTTTATATGTCTTGAAAGATGATTATCATACAGAACAAAACAAAAAGCATCAAAATGAGCATTAGAAATCTTAGTAGCAGACATCACACAACTCATACTCACCAGCACTTAGAAGTGCCACATTTAATTCCTACAATCAAAGCTATGATTGCAAGAATTACAATAATCAGAATAACACAGATGATTTGTTTCTGTCAAATAAGTATTGTTAAATTACAAAAGATGTGTAAATTAACTGAATTAGAGAATATTTGCTATCAAAAGAGATTAGTCAATAAATATCAATGAGCATTGAGTAGTGTTTCAATAATTTTAGTATAAAACTATTGTGACAAGCTTCTCCAATTAAGAGTATATGATTTTTAACCACTTCCATTTTATACAATTCACAATAGTACTGGAAATTGACACCCCAAAACTGTTGATCACATTTTCACCAATACAATACATTGTTTTATGTATTTCATATTTTTGATTCAGATTTTACTTCACCGAAAGCAAAATATGGGTCACCAAGGACAAATGTTTTACTCATTCATTGAAAGTAGTTAATTATTGAAACAAAAGTATGAAACTGTAATTAACCACAAGCTTAAACCAAAAATTAAAAAAAGAATATCAGGTATTCAAGAATACGGTACTGTATTCATGACATGATATTCAAAGAATTAGATCTACAAATATTGATCATTGCATAGCAGTGAAAAGGCCAAAACTGGAGCACATTTTATTTCCTCACTTGAAGCTGCAGGAAGTTATAAATTAGGAGAGGAAATCAATTTAACTTTTTTCGTCGATATATTCTATTGTGTCTAATGAAGTTAAATCGCTGTGAAGAACTACTCCATTGTGGGTGCTGAGGTTACGGTACATTGCTTTAAAGAACTAAACAAAATTGCTCAATGATTATTCTATAATAACCTCTACTGCTTCTTGCTCCTTCTACCCATTACTCAATACTTGAAACTATGCTCACTTCTGTGAAATTTAGGCCTATTGTATTAAATATACAAATACAAATTAAAAATTTTACCAGAAATTAAGAAAGCTGCTGAAAAATTAACAAGTAGATTCTCCAAGAAATACAGCTGAATTCAGGTTCAAAACAAGTCCAGGTTGTAGATGATGATGAAGAAATTGGATTAAAACTAACTCCGCAGCAGATCGCAGGATTTTGCGGCTGAATAATTTGAGATGCGAGATGATCCTTAGAATCATAACAATATGCATAATTTCCTATTTTACCAGGATTCAACGCGATAAATACAAGGACAGAACAACATCGGAGTAAAGCAGTTATGAATGAAAGACAAATACAAAGCGGTCCTCAGACGTACAAATGTGATCATTTCCACAGGAAGACAACAATCCACCAGATAAATAGAATCGGATTATTGAAAACATATGATAACTACCAAATCCTACGTGATTCTTTTATAAAATGTAGACTCCATCCACGACGATTTCACAGTAAAGATGAAGACAAGACTAGACAAACATGCATATCAACAAAACATATAAGGAATACAAAGACGAAGTGATTCACAAATGACTTTTATGTATTATTTCTAAAGATTTTACATCTGTTGAAAAACTGACTAATTGGCATGCACAACAACTGACACTGACATAACGACATCTTATATGTAATATTTTTATTGACAACATTCTCTTCTCACCCGTCTTGCTCTGCTCTGGTATTTTACTGCTTTCTTTGTATCTGAAACTGCTCTTTCTACGTAGTCGACTGAGTGTTCGACATTATACTCAATTCTATCGATCATTTCTCCCTGTTGTTGTTTTCCGAGTGGGATTGGCACAACAGTATGGGTCAAAAATATGTTTAGTAACATCGAAAATGTATAAATTTGAAACGTAACCTCATATATTATACATATTTGCAACAAAGGCAAAAATTGACCTATTTTTGGATTTTGATACTACTAGGTGTGTAACAAAAAATAATTTTAATAGCCTTTGTTGCAATTTGTATTTGTGAGGTTGGAATTTGATGTTGACTCATGGTGAAATGTGGAAGCCAGTTTGTGCTCTTTATTTATCCAAGATGGAGCACCACGTTTCGGCAGTACCTTTCGTGCTTTGCTCTGGTATTTAACAGCTTGATTTGTCTCATTTTTGGCAATTTCCACATAATCAGCGGCATTATTGACATTGTATTCAATCTGGTTTACCATTTCACCCTGTAAAATAATCAATAACATTCATGAGAATATAAAAAAAAAAATTGAAATTTATTTTCAAAATCAGTCTGGCAATACATGACTATCAATTTGATAAGATGATATGATATTGAAATATATACATGTCAGCATTACTAACATTGCCCACAAAACAATACAGTTGGAGATGATCATATCTAAAATTGTAAACCAAGGTTTAAAATGGTACACTTGAAAATACTTTCAATTTTTTTTAAACAAAATTATTTGGACACGCTTATTGATAGTCAAAATATATATTTTACTAACATCAGAAGTAAAATACTGAACCCGTTTACCATGAATTATACCAAGATGTCACACTAACTACACCAATTTATAACAAAATCACAAAATCTATATCACATAAGCAAGCATCTCGATAGACATTGAATAATGACTATTACTCATTTAAAATTGAGGAAGCCATTGAACTCTGACTGCCTTACACAATGATAATGTACATGAAGTCTAATACAATAGAAGGGGTGCTTGCCGTGCCTATGATGATTACATGGTACCTTTATGAAAATATGCGAAAGAATGTACACATATGAATAAAAGTTAATGTAATAGTTGTGGCATGCACTCCTATGAGGTTTTAAAGATGACATTAAGGAATAGCTGTTAAGATCACATAGATCAAGTCATAAATTCAAAGCTTTGGTAAAATATCACTCTCAATTTTAAGGTTTGGAACCTCTGTCAAACAAAAAAAAAATTTGGTATATTTCATAATATCTCATGCATTTTTAAAATGACATGCAAGTAAAATACAAACAAGAAGAAATATAGTTTTGATTTTAGTTGAATAAAGGTTAAAGACTAGTTAGTACTGTACTGACATATCATCCCAAAGAATACTATATTTAGGTATAGGTATTAAAGAATAGTTAGTATTTAAGAATAGACTGTTTATAAAGTGCATCGCTCCAAGGCACATGCTTGACAGATGGAAAATCATGGTTGGGAAAATACACAAAAGAATCATAAATTCACTACAAGAGTAAATTGGTTTCACCCAAACACAAAATCATGAAAACCTATGTTCGTAATAAACGAAGTATGGATCACATTTACAGAATACTTGTTGATTAGCGTCAACATCATATATTCATTCGTATACTCATTCTTGTGACAAAAAACATACTACATCTAGCAGTTCAGAATAGTCATGATATAGACAGGAAACAATGGTGCTTGGTGTGTAAACAATAGAACATTTTGCTTAATTGATTGAAGAACTAACCACTGCATAATGATGATTTTATTTTAAAGTATTCTCAAATTCCTAATGCCTAATATATTTAAAATTTCGCTTATATGAGAGGTACAATAGAAAGTACCACCTAAATATTACAATAAGTAGATAAAAGTAGAACATAGCTGAGAATTATTCTAAGCATCACCTGATAAGTAATGGAACAAAATTTTCAAATATAATATTTTCAAAGTAACATCTGGGACAAAATTTTACAATGTGAAATACACCATTTCAAATTGTATGAGTGATTTCAGGGTCTTGCCACACACCCACACACATGTACCGTACTTCTGTAATTTTTTGACAGAGGTCGGACTTATTATGATAAGCAAACTTCAACTATGAACTATGACTAAACATATTCAAATATTAGTTTTAAACAGTAATCTTTTATAAAAATTCCAAATTCTATTCATTTCAGGCACTACACCAAAAGCACCAGTTTTACTTTCAAATATAAGTACGCCATTATTAATCCATATTTCAAAATCTCTGGTCTGACTACAACTCACATTGCAAGCAGTTACTCAAAGTTTGCAATTATTATGACTTCAATCAATGAAATATCGCATTTAATAAGCATGGAATTTTGATTAATAATTGAAGAAAGCCAGATTGTATACATTCAATTAGAGATAAAGCCACGTAACAAAGCTATGATAGTGATAATGGTAAAGAACAAAAACTACATGCAATTTTAACAATTATATTTTAGGGATGAATATTCCAAAAACAGATATTTATTTAGCTTCCCACATTCAGACATGATTGAACATTGCGGCAGCAACAGTGTATACCACAAAATGGCATTTTTTTTCAATTTTATAATACATTGATGTTATGGTGACACAGAATACAAACACATAAAACATGAAGGGACTTGACACATTGATGAGCACAATATTCAAACAAATTACCTGAGTCAACATCCAGAATAATTGAAACTTTGAACTCAAATCCCGCAAAAAATCTCAGCGGCATTAAAAAATAATATAACAATAGTATGAGGAATTATATAGCTTCAATTTTGGTCATGCTGACAAGCAAATAACTGCATGAATTTTTCATTTATATTTGACCACAAAGGTTTTGAAAATGAATAAATGACCAGATCCAAACAAAATTAAACAAAACTTTGAAATTATTTAACAAATTTTTTTTTTTCACACAATTGAAATGGTAAATGATTTTAAAATCAGTGCCAATCCAGAAAGGAAAAAAGATTTTCAATAATTCAATTAAAAGAACTATTATAACAAATCATGATTTTTTAATTTAAGATTTGTTTGTATTAATATTAAAACTGCATATTTGCTATTGTACATATCCAAATTCGAACAAAAAATATGAAACGAAAAACCTATGAAACCTAAACATTTTCGAAGTAAATTTTCAAAGTAGGCCTATATGAATTCAAAATGAAGGATCTTTAATTTGACGAAAATAAAATCAGTCGAAAATAAAAAATTGGACAGTTATGAATAATTAAAAGAGCATTGCGGCATTTCGACTAAACCATGTGACTCGTTATTACTTTCATTTAAAGTTAATCAAACTCCAAGACAGGTAGAGCATACATCTGACGTTAATTATATTTGTATTTGATCTATAATTCATCCGATACCAATACAGATTTCTGTTATGAATATAATTTGTGAAAAAATTTGGATATGTAAATAAATCAAGACATGAGAGAATAAAATTATAAAAAATGTCCGATTAGACGGACGTGGATTATTTGGTTTGAACAATTTGAATCCAACATTATTAATTTTTAAAAATTTTTAGGAACAACTTTTTTCTTATAATACCTATTAAACTCTGTGTATAGAAATTCCTGAAGTGAAATTTACTGCTAAATTGCTAAATTAACAAATAAAATTTGAAAATATTTAAAGAATGTGATATTCAGACATATGTAATTAATTAAATGAATAATTTATACAAACTGATCAAAAAAATCTATTCATAAAATGAGTATGATATTCAAATTAAATATTTCAAAACAAGAGTAAAGAAACAAGAGTAAAAATTAACTCAACAAGACGTACCTGTTGCTCTACAAGCATTGCCATGTCCATAAACATATCGTGTAGTTCTTTTATGCTGTTTTCTAATTTGATAATGTCATTATGTCGGGCTTCAATATCGTTAAGGGCTTGCTTCGTTTGTTGGGTGTCTATGATTATCTAAAAATACAGAACAAATTTTAGCAATAATAATTGTCAGCCAAGTTCAATTGTAGGTTTCCTTTCTAGGGTTCACAATAGGATTAAAAATTTTTTTTTACAATTTTTCTATATGGTGCATTCCAAACTATGTGATATCTGGTTATAGAGATCTTTCCGGTTTGTATGAGCTGGAAAAGTACATTCTAAGGGAGGTACTGAGCTCGGATTGACTGATGAACCAAAAGAGACCTTACCCCTGGAGATCTCTAACCCGGGATACAAACATAATTAGAGCAATCTACACTACAGTCTGCTAAGGCATTGCATGTAGCAAATAATACCAACACTCAGTATGCACAGAGGAAGGGACAAAAAAATTACAAGAGCTGCAAAGCAGTTAGATTTAATCCAGATACAAAAAAGAACAAACGAAAATCCTAATCTCAAAGTGTATGGATTGATTATTTAAATTTTGGAACAGAAAAGGGTATAGATCAGTCATGGGCAAATTACGGCCCGTTGGCTGATTCAATCTGGCCCGCCTGATGCTGTCACAACCAAACGGACACCAAATTTTGATGCTTTAGCTAAAAATAGCTCAAGAAATTTGTTGAATGCGGTTAAATTTAGTTTTGACACAAGGCCTATTGTTTTCCACTGTTGCTTTTGTAATACTGTAAATATTGTTTATAAAATGTAACTTTTTACGTCACACTTATATGGCCCACCAGTGAACGTGGGCAAAATTTTTGGCCCTTGCTGCAAAAACCTTGCCCACCCCTGGTATAGAATGATAAACTGTGATACTTACTCCTCCCGTGAAGATAGCAGGACTCCCATCTTTGCTGTTCTCGAGCATGTTCTCTAATTCGTTGTCTGAAACCTGCTTCCCAGTAATTTCCAATTGTCTCTGAATTCTGGCTTTGCACCTTTCTCGATAATCATTTTGCGTAGTGTTATAATCTGTCATAACTTCAATAAATTTCCTAGATAATGTTGAATGCTGAAATAAATATTTAACAAATGAGAAAGAGATAGTATCAATAGATAAAGAATGGGAAATACACTGACAAGCTCATTCACCCATGGATATAGAAACGCCATCAAGTAGGTTCAATTCAATCACATATATAATTACAATTCTTGTTCCAAAGCTTTACTATATTTCAAATATCCTGAATTTCTTAATAGATGACCATATTCGGAAGCAATATGGTCTGATCCAATTTTCTGTACACTAGAGGTATTTGTACTTTTAGTTGGTATTTCAAAATATCATTTTGATACAAGGTGCAAAAAATCCATCATTAAAACAACAAATTCACATTGGAAAATGGTTATTTATATTCACATGACAATAATGTTCAAAACGTTCCATACTGTTTCAAAAAGCATTTTTTAAAAAGATTCAATATATATTGTCAGGTAAAATTCATTTCTATTTGCCTTAGGAAGTAATCCAATAATCTACCTGTGTTTTCTTAATTCTCAGATCCGCTGATGAAGCTGTATTTGAATTAGAACCTTCTTCAATATTTTGTTCAATAAACTTCAATTTGCCTCGAACTTTATTTGCATTTCTTTTGATTTCCGCCATAAGTTCCTCCAATTCTTCCTTTGTTTCTGAAAGAAAAAAATAGTTATAAAAATGCTGTTTTGTAGGAGTTTTAAGCCATGACTGTTCCGGTTGTCTTTTACGACCGCCATGATGTAAAAAGAGAGCATGATATAGAAAACTGAAATGGTTCTCACCAGGAATTGTAAAACCAAATATTCAGCTATTATGAATCCCACATAATATAATGTATTTGAATAGGAATATCAAGTATATTCTTAACTGGGCCATGGTCAACGAAAAATGGAAGCAGTAATGTATATATATGGCAGCCATGGCATTTGAAAATGGGAACAAAAAGGCCGAAAAAATTTAATCTTAAATATGCAGAGAAATTATTTTAAATTGGAAAAAATTTTAACTCATAATATCACTCAATAAATAAGTATCTCAATTCAACAACAGTTGTTAAAAATTGTCATTTAATGATCAAAAGGGCCTATTTTTGAACTTTGCCATGAGTATCATTATGGGCTATTCCAAGTGACACTACGAGACAATTCCAGAAATTTTGCATGTTGTTAGATTCAATATATTTTCAGCTACATGTTTTGTTTCATTGTCCAATCAGTTGCTTTATTGAATATGGAAAAAATTGCACAAAAGTTACACCCAACCTTACTTAGTAGATAAAAAAAATATAGTAAAATATAGCGTGACACTACAGGACGGCAAATCCACCATGCACTAACAGTACGTTGTGTTGTGCTGTAAATTTTTGCGATGGTACAGTGGGAGCCCATAATATTTTCTGGTGCAGTAGCTGAACTACCCCTCTATGTGTTGCTCAAGTTACTTAATGTAACACTGTAAATCCATGCCAATAATGTGCATATTGTATGTGACACTACAGGACGTGACACTCCAGGACATTTTTCCAATTCGGAATAGCGGCATCTATTATCTCTTAAAATTCTGGTGATAAATCGTTAAATGGGTGAAGAAATGTTCTACAGCACTGCAAACATTTAAACTTTATGAACTTAAATCCAGTGCGTCAATTCCATATGAAATAACTGTACCACACAATCAAACACTTTGTGTCAGGGATCATCACAAAATATGTCAATTATACCAAAATTTCTACATTTAAGGCCATTTTTTAAAAACCATCAAAAACCTGGGTGAAATTTTAAATTGTTCGATGAAATGAATGCAGTCCAATAAAATTCCAATGTCTTTTGATATCAAAAATTAAAAAAAATTACTTTCACTACACTTTTTAAAAATTGATGGAATTCAACACAAGATGCGTAGATTTTATTTTGATGAGGTCATCGCACTTGAAAAGCGAATCCCATTGAGAGTTGAGACCCGCAAAAATTATGAAATAATTAAAAGAATAGCCTTTTAGCGAAAAATACAATCTTCAACCACTGAAAATTTTGAAGCATTCGGTACAGTAATTAATAAGAAAAATCGATTATCATACGGGAACAACAAGAACATGAATACAAAATGACCCATAGGTTCACTTCATGTCCAATAACACTGATATTTTTTTCAACCCTTTTAGACTATAGCCATCATGATTTGTCTTACAATCCATCCATATACAATATTATTGTAAAAACAATCATAATGCAAAACTGAGATTTTCATCCTGTACAATCTAATTATCATGTATCAACTGATAGTTGTATAAATTAAAAATTTTCCCTTAAAATCTTATAGAATCTCACTTTTAAACTTAACTTAATAAAAGTTAATAATGGACCTAAAATCAGAACAAAATTTGCCATTCTTAAATGGGATTTGTAAGGTGAAACAAGTATGGATAGGCCAGAGTATACTTGAGTAGTGCATGCTTTAGAAACCTATTATCTATGGGCCTTACTCGGCCAATACGAAAAAAAGATAGCATAATGCTGGAGTGCTTCAGAGAAAGTATGAAGATTTAAAGATTGATATTCCTTATTATAGCTACATGATCATCTCATTGAGTATTTAACTTATTAACAATGCATATATCTTAATTACTTCAATTCATGAGGTTTTTAATGATAAAACTACATTTCCCTTTGTCCTGTTATGAGTGAATAACGATCAAGAAAAAACAAGATACGTTAGAAACAAGATACGTTAAGCCAGTTTGAATGGTAAATATTTGTCATTCGGGTGTGATGGCGTACGCAATGTATTGAGCTATTTTGAGAGAGTTATAAAACCAGGTAGCGAAAGGTTCACATCGTCATTTCAGACCTGTCTAGGCATGAGCACCTACCTACCTTTAAACTGGTATGAAGTTTCCCATAAATACAATATAATAAGGTCCGCCTAAAAACCCTCTTATTGTGATAGACATTACATGCGAGATGTGTAATTGTCACCTGATAAAAATATATATAAAGCTAAATAGTTTTAACATGGCACGATTTATCGATAATTTCTCTGAATGATCAATTATTCTGAATATAATTATGATATTATAATAGTTATTCTAATCTTTTGTGAACATACTATATTTTACTTTTTTTTTTAGGAAATTAGTGATTGTTAGATGAGAGCAAAAAATGAATTTTGTGGCATATTAACTGAGAATATCACTGAGAAATGATGCAATTTTCAATACAAATAACTCCGATTTCCATTTGAACCTAAACTGATTGGACATGCATATTTTTTAATGTTTCGGCACAGTAGAATCAAAAGGTTCCAATAAACATGATGTCAATATAAGTGAGTAAACTTTATTCAATATTATGATAATTCAGTCTAAATTTGCTATATCAAAAACCAAATTCCAAAAATTTAACCGACGAAAGTCTACCTGATGCAGTAATCACAATTGAGCAAAACAAATATATTCATGATTTTTGTTAATACTGAGTCAGTCAATATAACCCTTCTTTTCAATAATGCAATTTCAGTGAACTTTAATAAAGGGAAGTTTACTCTTGTCTACTCTTGAAAAGATTAAAACATCCCATATTTTTTCACAACGATGAAATTATTGAGTAAAAAATTCAGAATCTATTTCAAAAGTAACCAAATTTCAACAAATATAATTTCACAAAGAATATTTCTCATTTGGAATATTGGAACAATTGTTTAAAAAATTCTTCCAAATAAAGACCAAGTAATTCAACAGCATGGACAATGCTGTTATGAAAAGAATACACATACAATTTCTGTACTAAGTGGTTTAGTATGATGCATAGATGCGTAAATTTTTGGTAAGGTTTTGCCTCACCATGGTCAGACAAGGAAAATCTGTTTCATAAAAGTAAAATTACATGTTTTACTGATGAATAAATAAAAAAATAAGTGGGTAGAATTAGTATGTGTAAGAGGCAGTATTTCTGAAAGTTCAAAAGCAATGTTCATTCAAAAGCAAAAATGTGGATTGTAAAGGACAATTGTAACAAATCGAGCCCAATTGGAGATTGTCGTATGTTATTATCACAAGCATAACGCTCGATTGAAGAGTATATCATTGCGTTTTCACATATACTTTATAGCATAGAGTGAGTTTGCCCCTGCTGTACTTTTATGTGAAGTTTTAAACTTCATTTAGAGTCCTATGTGTTTTTCTGGTGTGTTGTAATTTCTTTGGACTATGGCGAGGTTTAACATAATTTATCCCATCCCTATCTTAAATGTTGATACTTTCAAAGAAACTTTCCAACACAGCAAAAGCCACAAATAGATATATTATAGGCGAGACAATTTATTTTGAACTCAGCACTGTCCTTCGAGCCCCTCCATTTTTTAGTTTAATTTAATAGGGAATCAAAGTAGTGTATTATTAACACCCAACCCCTTTATATTAGGGCACATCCCAGGCCAGCCAATATGCAGATTTAAAATGTTGGTGAAATAAAGATCACACACTGTGTTTTTATACATAAAAGAATGTCGAGGTTGATAATTGGTGAAACCGATTTATCCATAATGAAGTTGGCAAGCGCTTTTTCCCCATTGCTATCGATTACTATAAGTGAATGTCGTATGGCACATCTGTCAGGTCATTTAACGCTGTCGAGTTGATTTTCCCGATGGTCATCAAGGATTTTGCGTCTTTTATTGGCAACCAGAGACCGAGTAATCCTCGTCGTCTTCGTTGGAAGAATGTTCAATATTTTAAGCATTTTACCCGGTTATGCATGAATCTCAGGAGTGCACCAATACTTCAAATACATCGTAGGCCCACACAACAGTAATCGCAAGTACCGGTAATTTTGATTTGCGCTTTTCATTCGTGCTTGATCAAGCATGCCCAAAACGGAGGCCGCCGGAATGCGTCTTATTTTATACTTCTGATCGCAAATTTAAGTTCCATTTGTTATTTAAATCTCAATTTGGCTTAAGCGAAATACAGTGATAATATCGATATTCAAGTTGATTTTACAGCAAATTGTTAACAGCGTGAATAGCGAGCACTGCGTGCGACGGAACAGAGTGAATCGGTTCTCTGCGTCATGTGACCTGGAAGCCGAACATCGCTTCCGCCTGAAGTAAACAAAAGTTGGAAGTCGAGCTGCTTGTGTATGCGTGAGGTGAAATCAAGGTTTTAACAAATATCTAATATTGTTTGTGGTAAGGAAGCAATGACATTCAGAAATTAATTTGACGTGTAAAAAATACTTCTACGACTTTAAAAACGTCAAATATATTATTTGTCATTTTTACCGTGGAGTCAATTTAAAATCGTTTCATTTGATTATAAAAAAAATTAAATAGTATCGTTTTAGGTACATATACTACGGGAGTTACTTGGCTAGTCCCCGAACTCGTAATAGAACTAAAATAAGGAAAATTTAAATAAAATTATGGCCTAACCCTAACGTGGTACCTGGTACACATACTACGTTTCGGTGTCCGCCATCTTGGTTCGCATACTACAAGAGTACCAAAAAATCAATCCAACTTTTTTGTATACTATGAAACGACCGGAAATTTTTCATTGGAAGTCACGTTTCAAAACACTGTGAAACAGGTTAAATCCCTATACATTTGCCCAACGTTTGTATATAACTTGATCGGGATGTGAGCAGAGATGTTGTTTAATGTAAAAACGCACTGGCGTGAGCATCAGCTTGTGTTCATACGAAACATACTTTACACAATTTTACTAGAATTGTATGATCAATTTTATTACTAGTATTTTACATTTAATTTTAACACGTATACTGCATCGCGCAATTAGAATCAGAAATTTCGTGAACTTTTATTATCGTTTCCTAATTCCTGCAATAATGATTACCAGAACGAAAAAAAAGCATATACCACGGAAAAAAGATAGATTAGTCTTGCCGGGTCGTACGCCCTCGAATATACCAATGGTGACGTCGCTTATTCGAAATAAAATTAGAGTCCGAAAATAAACAAATGATGTAATTGCTTTTGTCAACAACATAGTCACGTTACTCATAATTCAAAGAGGACATTGAAACTGAACATTTTATTTCAAAGCCGATGTTGAGCTACGAATATTTCACGATGGTGAACAATCGTCAAAACAATCACAATATAACTGTATTACGATAACGTTTGGTAACATTATAGTCCTTGAAATATTATGGATATATACAATACCATTTTTTCTTATTCTCTATTTACCATTCGCGCTCTTGCTAGTGCGTAGGCGGTGCGTGAAGACCAAGCATAGGCTAAAGAAATTGTTGAAACATGGTACGTTGACAAAATATAACTCGACGAGAAAAATGTTTGATAACGCATGAAGTGTACAGTTCGCCTCATATACGCAATGTACCAGTAATTCAGGTATGGCTGGCATAGTGTTGGTTAACAAAGGATTAAAGCATCGCCGCAATTATCTAAGTTTCTAATGCAATTTTTCAAATCTATAGGATGATTGCTGATTGCAGTTTTCGTCACCGTTGAGGCTGCGAAACAGATCAATCTTAATTATACGATTTCGCGTCATCTGTCGTGCGGTTAACTACCGGCGATTTAGCTCGCCAGGGGAATGAAAATGGTGCCGCATACGACTAGGCGATGACAGGTAGAGAACATCTTTACAATTTGGAAACGAGAATTGTCGAAACTCTAAAATCTCGGCAATAACGATGAATGCAAGTGCTACAAATTAGCAAAATATTATCACAAACGTTTTACCATACGTAAGATATTTAACATTGTATATAGTAGATCAATATTAACTTAATATACGACCCCAATCGCCATTTGAACGGGTCTTCTGTGTAAATGGGATCGGGTTTGTTTGATTTTGTCACACGCTAACACATTCATCAACGCAATATTTCGTCGACAGTATTTTGAGACCCAGACACATGAAATGTATTAGTTCCGAATGTGAGAGGCTTTCCAAAACGAGGCCCGTTTTATGGTTCTGATTACGGGAATCGTTCATGAAACGCAACAATTTCACGTCACATAACGACACAATACATATCTGATATTTTTAGCATCAACCTCGATCTACGGGTTACATTATTACATGGGGAGAAAAGAATACTGCCTTCGTTCAACCAGTTATTGATTAGACGGTTGTTAATAAATAATTAAAACTGCACGATGCAGGCTTGCCTATGAGATCAGAGAGCGTTGCGAAAGAATGTGTCCTTTGTGATGCATTGAACCAGATAAACCGATAAATCGTCTTTTATTCTTTGAGATGATAAATATTGCAATATAATTCGTCAGAGAAGTACGTCCAAATATACCAAACAGGAATACGATTAAGCTTAACGTTGTCACCATCCGGATAAAATTGGCCAGGGGTGGAAGGCTGTGACGTAATTATAAAGCACGTGACTGAAACTGTCCGTTTGCGATTCATACGCCAAGCCATAACTATCGAATTCACAGAATCTACGTGGTTTTCCTTGCTCCGGATGTAGAGAGGGGGATTAAATACGACGCTACGATTTTATAATAACGGTAAATGGGATTAAATTTTCCACCCCGTACATCAGACAAAGAAAGCTCAAACGCTGTTTATTGGAAAGAGAATTAACGGAAGCGACCATGGGGAAATCGGCTGATATATTATTGAACGGTTGCGGATGGAAGAGAGTCGAACGAAAGTTTGGAAATATATTCTCGCTCATAAATAACCTTTACCCGCGGAAAGAAGTCGTACGAAGAACATTGAAGTAACAATTGAAAATTTCTATTGATTACTGGGTCACAAAACTAACCACCAGATGAAAAAATCAATGAAGTTAATTCACCAAGACTAAACTTTAGCAGAAGAACTTTTTAAAATTCATTTGAATCAATGATCGGTAAATCCCATAACGGCCAACAAGTAAAATTCTTCTTCTTCAAATACTACCCAAGTATGGCACATTGATATAACACATATGCTGAGCATGATGTATATTCTATCCATGCTTGAAATACAGAGCATTAGACTTTGGATAAATAATACATTGTGAAGATGGCACTGCATTATTGAAGTATTAATAAAAGGGTTACTTCATTTTGAGCTTACTGGTTACCCTAAACTACAAAGAATTTTGGAGGAAGAAGCATTAACCACAAATACATTAAAGACAAGCATAAACGGGTATAGGACCGAAGGTTCACATTTGAATATTTGATATTCAGAAAATTCCCATTCAAAAATATTTAACAATAATTTAAATTGCCTTTCTGAAGAGGTGAACAACATTAGTATTCACAAGATCGGCAAGACTGAAACTTCCTAAAAATTCGTTATTGCAGGGGATGAGGGATGAGAAATGAAAAAAGTTTTTCAACCTTCTAAAACACAGAAAAAGCACAAAATCTTTAGTAAGATCATATTGATATAAAAAGGAAAACTTTGATAACTAAAAAAAATCCTCAAATTCAATTCTGAATTGCAATATCAAGCTGGATTTTTGAACCCGGTTAATTGTGGAAAAATATAAAAACACTGAGTGGTATTAATGGTACTAGGAAGTAGTCAAGTGATGTTATATTTGAATTGTACTTAGTCTATGTAGACAGCAGAAACCACACAGTCATCTCTCTAGATGTAAAAGCTATAAATACAACCACAACCCCCTCCAGTGCCTCACAACCTATGTCATTATTAAGAAGACGTGAGTCATATTATAATCATAATAGCAACCATATGTAGGAATATATTTATATACTATTGTAGATGATGTAGTGTTTCTTTCATACTACTTACTGTCATCTGCTTGTGGTGCCGATAAAATATCACTGTGTTTTCTTTTGACTTCTTGAACTTTCTCTGATATTGTATCAATGTAGCCACGAATTTCTTCGACCTGAGCAATGTAACAATGCACAAAACCAAAGTGTTTATTATTTCGGAATTCACTAGAGTCTGTTTTGAACTGGAATACGTCATATTATTAGTCTAACATTAGGTTGTTCATTGTTTGGCAAATATTAAAATTTTAATGAAAGTATATTAGGGTATAACTTCACAAACTTTGTCAACTCCATCTTGTAGATATAAATTAAATATGTCCCACATTTTACAAGTATTCTGAATAAAAATGCTGTGTTTTAGAAGAGCTGTATAAGAGAAACCGGGCATATTAAAAAACACTTTCATATACAATGTCTCAAGTACTTTGGTCATTGTCACCAAAATTGCGAAACAATCTCTGCCATACAAGCCCTACACAGACTTTCTTTCCTTCTTTGGGTGACAAGACAAGTAAATATCTAGATCAGAGGTGGGTAAATTACAGCCCGCGTGCCGGATCTGGCCCACCGAAGTGTTTCATCCGGCCCACATGTGTCGGCTGAAATTACGACTATAGTTTTTATATAAATTTCTGTTGAGAATATCAATGAAAATAACGTCATAATGACCCCAATTGTTACATTGTGCTTCTCATTATTATATGCAAGTTAGCCTAGCTGTTGAACTAGCTTTTGTAAATAAACTGTTTTCTATTCATAGTTTTTCATATCGAGTTTTGAGCTTTCGGCCCAGTAACCAAGTCTTATTACCTGGAACTGACCTATTGGCCACTCAGAAAAGAAATCGCCCACCCCTGATATTGATGTTAATACAATATATTATTGAAATGCCCACCTGCCCAAAAAATTCTTCCATGTGATCTGGTTCAACTTTGACAGTGACTTCATCATCTTCATCTTCTTCAACTCCAAAATTAGCTTGACGCTGAAATGTGAAAAATCAAATAATGATCACAGTCATGATTTCACTGCACAATATTACTGGCAACAATACAAAAAACTGTATATTAGAATGCGTTGTTAGTTCAGCGGTATATAAAGTGAATTGAATATTGGATACATTTGAAATTGGTTATGTTCAATAGAGTTTCTTGAAGCATAATTTTAGGAATAATTTAAAAACGTTTCATTTTAAAAATTCGTCCTTTTGAACATTTGACATCTACCAGAAAACCAATAGACTTAGTTCAACTTCTGATATTAACCAAAACAATGTTTATCTGAAGTAGCAAACTGAATATCTATAAATTTAAAATGATTTTTGTACATGTGTATGCATTGAACATGACTCATTTTAGAATATATTCAATAATCCACCTTATTTTATTGTGTGTTCAGAATAGTAAATCATTTGGCTTTGGCTAACTATTGTTGTTGATCTATCGTTCGCGAAAATGTGTGAGTTTTACATGTGATTAAATTGTTTTTTAATATAAGTATCAGTATTGATATTGATAATCTCAAATCGATTATATCTGTTGTATCAACTTTGTATGTGAATTAACTCTGAGCATATCCTCAGATGTTTTCCAATTACTTTTCACCAGTGTTTTTAACCATCTCTGACAGTTATATATGTATGAAATAAAGCATTGAACTGTTCTCAAATATGTCCTGAGAGGCCATTATTGACTCCTATATCCAAAATACAAGGTTTGGATACCGAAACTTTTGAATTATGCTCATGATTCTAAAATATGGCACAAGCTGGAAGGCAGGAAGGCAGAATAATTTTGGTTGGACTTTGATTGTTTTGGGCAATCAGTTTAACCCAAGACTTGGGTTTAAACAAAATTAAGAATCCTCTTATCAATAGATTTATACAGACTTAGTAGCTATATGTATAAAAAAACATTTACCAAATAGGGGAATTGCAAAAATTTATCAAGTATCCCATGAATAAAAATTACTGTATTAAACTTAAAATAAAATGAGATGATACTAACAGGTCAATCCATAGACCATATTGCATTAAAAAAAGGATTTCGCTTTCAGATTGAAGATATCGCACAATATGCAAATATTATAGATCGATATTAATAAAACTTTCAAGCCTGGAAGAAATCTATATCATTATCAGATATGAGTATCACGGAGAAAAGAAAAGCTCAGGCACCTACAAAAGACAGTGGCAATTAAAAAATGAAAAGTTAGCATGTGCATATTTTATTTATGCCAACTGGTAGGATGGACATAAATATTACATGAAGGACAGAAGGCAAGGTGCTTTAATACAATGCTACCTCAGTCCCAAATGTGATATTTCTGTTCAATAACTTTTCTTGCAACAAGATTGATTACATATTCTAGTAGTACAATAATTTGGCAGAATACAGCAAATATTTCTATGCTTTCCTTCATTCATTGTCCCTTAGTTTCCAGATAAAATAAAGAAGTACCCAGATGAAACCTCCTCCTCACTTTGACATGAGAGTTGTTTCTATTATTTGGGCTTACACCTTATTCTTTTTCAAGAATTATTATTTCAATGGCAAATGGGGCCTTGAGAGTTTGATGGATAATTAAGGGAGGTGGATTTAGAAAATATTATACACACACTTTAATCAGAAATTGTGAAATTGTAAGAATAAACAAAGAAACACGTCACATTCACTTGAATTCAATCACTGGATTTTACTCAAATTTATTTGTGATAATACCTGGTTTTAAATGTGAACTCTTGTTTATTAATAAGAGCTGTATTCAGTAATAAAAGTGCTTATCAACGATAGCACCCAATAAGTGGGTGTGTTGATCAACTTTTATTAGATATATATAACATACTGTAGCATAGGTTGCGAAAATTTATCTTATATGTGCTTGCTAATGGAGTCAATTACCAAATTTTTCATAAGATGCCCAACGAGAGAATAATTTATTTGCTGATATAAAATTTAGGTACCTAATTAGAAAATTGACAGAAGTGGCTCCCCAATAGGACTTCAGAACAAAGATACAAAATGAGACAAATTTATAAATTATGACAGCATTTAACATTTTCATAGCCTTGTTAAATACTGCTATAAGGCATAAAAACAGTACATGATGATCCTGTGTTCAATTCCAATATCAGGATTTCAGAAATGTAGAAATTTTCAGTCAGAGCAAATCAGACACCTTTTTATAATTTATACCACTTTTCCATCCTTATAAAAAGCTGTGAAACGGCCAAAACAATGGATGTGTGTATGTGAGTGTGTGGCTTAATAGGACAATGGAAAGACAGGATATGATGGCATTTGATATTAGCATATTCACTTTTCCCAGTCACTTTACTTGAAAGGCTACTTGGCTTTAATTTTTTTAAAAGTGGAGTGAGACCAGAATCCACTGTCGCTTGCAATATGCAGTGGTAAATCAATCATAGCAATACAATATTGAGATAAATAAATGGATGCTGAGATATGTCCAAATCTTGATTAATTTTACAAAGTTCATACTAAGGCAAGTAAACATTCAAATGAGAGTCCATCAAAATAAAATTACTAATGATATTCTTATGGTAAAATGATACATTCTATACTGGGATTTGCCACTTTGGTCCCAGCAATTCATACTTCAGTCGTAATAATAGCAACATAGATGACACTGTGTCGGTTCAACACATCATAAATGAGTCACCAAGGTGTAACACAGTATATCACAGCAAACAGTGTGAACAATCTGTATGGTAGCAAACAATCTACCGTATATAGTGTATGGCACAAATGCCAATATTTATCGATTGATTGTTAATAACAATCATTAGAAATCAATTTAATATGAAAATTAAAAAGCATGATGTTTCAAGAAAATTATGAATATTTCTAGCTGTAAGCATTTTTTTTTTATTCTAAAACTAATTTCTAGTTGATGTATTTTTTAGTTGTATGATTGTTAGCTGTGTATACATGCTATATCCTGATCAAATGTGTACAAATTATATAGTGATTTATTATATTTGTACCTCCATCACATATGTCTGAAATATATGTGATGAATTCAGAGCTTAAACAAACTTGTATTACATAGCATTAGATACATTTATTGTCTTTCTGCTTTATTTTTATGACTACAATAGAATAGTGCCATTAGTAACGCAAACACTTGCTTGATACAGGCAAAACCAATGTGAAGCCAATCTAGATTTTCATAAAACTGAGGAAACATAATGAAACATACATAATGAAATACATTTTGCGATAAATGAAAACCGGTCTTCTTTTGGTAGAATGACAATTTGAGCGAAATAAAAATTACCTCTCATGCGTGAATTATGATTGTTCGAGATAAAAAGAAAAAAAAATAGCAAATATAGGCCTACTAGGATAACAGTATGAATTACGGTATCTACCGGTACATAGAATGTAGAAGAATAAGGTTGTGACAGCTCTTACAGATCACTCCACCAAATACCACAATTAATAAGGACAACCCTGGCTGTATATTTATTATACACAAAAATGTCCAACACACTGTCATTTATCCTCAAATAATAACCCCAAAATAGACTTTATTATAACTAACCCAATGACCTATGAAGCATTAAAATTTAAGAAGAGAACCTACCTGTAACTCCTCCAGTCGGTCCCTCATCTTGTCAGGAGATGTTGCTTGTAAGAGAATCAAAAAATGAAGGCTATTTTAAAATCTAAACAGTAACTCTGGAAATATATCCTTCAATATACATCCAAAAATTGCTGGCTTTTATGTTTTATTCCAATACAGTTTTGATGGAGTAGATATACAAAATTCTTTATTACCCTGACAGTATTTAATTTAATCAGTTCGTTACCCTGGCATACATTTCTAAAAATAAAATTTTCAAAGCACATTATTGTAAGTAACCATAAAACAGAATTATATGGAAATACATGCAGAATACAACATATTTGATAAATTATGATCAGAAGTTCCTAGATTCTGTCACTAACCCACTAAAAAATATTTTAAATGTGAAAAACTTGATATAATCTTAATCCATCAAGAACTAAACTATGATATTGAGTGCATAAATAATTTGTTATGAAATATTTTTAACTTGATAATAAAAATTTGGCAATTATTGAATGTAAGGGTCATTTAAAGTCAAATTGACCTACCTGCCAAGTCCTAATTTTGTTGCTCAAATTGACAATTTTTAAATTCTTCAAATTTGTCGTTTTATTAAAAATACATCTTTTAAAATACCGACTATAGCTACAGTTATATTAAAATATTGGAATACAGGTATAATCCAAGACTTATATTTACCTTAATCACCACCTGATATAACCAACTAACTAATCTGAAAACTCTCACTATATATATTATATATTGACAATACATATTATTCATTATATTATGTTTGATCCACTCAAAAATGAAAATCTAACTTATAACATAAAAAGACCCTGTCCCTAACTCAGTCACAAAGGATCTGTCTTTCCCTGGATTATAATTATCCTAGCAAACACAAAAAGCAAATAGAAATATTCTCTCCTAATCCAAACACAGTTTGGTTCCGCAATGTTATATCCAACACTTCATCTCTATTGCAATTATTTATTAATGCATGGAAGGACACAGCAAATGAAATTTTGCTCAGTCAATAATTATTGATTTGTTGGAGAATGAAAATGAATTGAATTTCCAGAAGTCAAATGGACACAGGAAAGGATTATTCCTTAATGCCAGATGTTTGAAGAATGCACTCTGTTTCTATGGATCAATGAAAAATGAAATTTTGATTAAAAAAATTGATTCTTTCGAAAAGTAACTAATAGTTTATATTGGTTCAAATGCAGACATAATCAAATTAGATATACTTTGCTTGCTTGTAATTGATGGATAAAAGCAACCACTGTTGGCGTATCAGACCATGTAGTTCCCTCGCATGGGTTCACAGAGTCAAATCCTGTAATGGATAATTATGTAAGATTCCTTTCTGGACCCCTCGCTGTCATGAGATGGTTCACACACTCGCTGTCATGCGATGGTTCACACAACAGCTGTTTAACAATGGCTTTCTATACCATTTAGTTCCGGGTCTCGTGTAGTTTCGTACCTCAAGTACTTCTAGTGGGGATAGAGCATAACGATTTTTACACATATCAATCCTAACCCCCACCTGACTTCGCCATCCCAAAATTATGTCACTATGACGTCACAATCACGCCATTGCCAAAGTATACCTACAATCGCCCGAAATGGCATCTGCGCCGACGATGGAAAACTCACTGACGGCAGCAATCTCTCTCATATCGAGATCGTTGCCACAAGAAAAACAGCTTGCTCTATTTCGGGTGATCGTCTGCGCGTATTGAATGACAGTTCGTATAGTTTGAAGGGCCTCATTACATCAATGCAGCAATGTGACATCGTACTGACATAATTTTGGGATGAAATTGTTATGCTACGCCCACTAGAAGTACTTTAGGTACGAAACTACACTAGATCCTTAGTTCCCACATCAGAATCAAATAACTAGTCAAATATGCCTAAGTGAAGTGCCATCTGATTAACCCATCCTATCAACTCTTCTCTCCTCTAGAAAAATAAGCCTATAAAATCACATTTAAAGTACACACAAGACAACCTTAAACAAGTATCAGGGGGACCTTGACATATTGAAACCCTGACATATTGAGTACCACACTTATCTGTTAAAGATTGCTTGATTTCGAACACAAGTCAAGGTCATTGATTCCTAATGATATCAGAGCATCAACGTGATGAACAACATGACTAACAACACGATAAACAGAGATGCCATAAATGTGCATATTCTCCAATTCTTTCATACATTTTAACTTCATAAGACTTCCCTTTATTTAGAGTCCATTACAATAAATATATATTATATAGGACCTGAAGACCTGGATCGGCTGGATGTAATAAACAAAACCCCATATGGTTGATTTCAATGTTTCCCAGAGCTTTGATTTTTATGTTTATTTCCATAACAATGACCAATCAACAATAAGTTCTTGATGACATAACAATTGCAATTTATGCAGCTGCTCAGAAAGATTTTCAAGCGTGGTAGTAAATATTGCCCATTTTTTGCCTTTTTGCACGTTATTTGTCAGTTTTAGTTGTTTTTCCAAAAATCAGTTGTAAATAAAATAATTTAATTGTCATTATGTTTTATGTAATACCGGTACCGTACCTGTAAGCAGCACGACCTTGAATATTGTATCAAAAATGATAGTTTTGAACATGTAAACCAGCTTGTACAGGTCTAATCCCCAAAACTTTCTTAAAATAAGTATCAAAACTTTTGCGATAATAAAATATAAGGATAATTTTTCTGAGGTCAAGCATTGGGATAACATAACTTACACGAAAATATTCTCCTGCCTTTAAATACAGACGACAGTTGAAAAATACATTACTTCAACCTGGTGCAGTGTTGCTAGAGTGCTATCTGACTGTGATATACATACCGTATACCGGTACACGTCTCTCAACTAAGTCCACACCAGCATAGATCTGTGTAACAGTACCGGTACCCAGTACCGGTATATCGAAAAATAGGCTACCTAGACTACCTCTGCAAGCATTTAGCATCTAATCTGATAATACAGTACCGTAATAGCAATACCAGATACCGGTACGGTACCGGTACGGTTCGGTTCCTAAAATAAACCGCCGGACGGTACGGTACCGTACCGTACCGGTACGGTAAGTTACGGTACCTAATGTTATAAGTTAATTACTGTTTCTCTTGTTATTGAAATGCACTAGAACGCACGTAACAGACCCAGTTTTTCATGTCGTATTTCTTGTTTTTCCATATAAATGCCATACTAATCCGCCCGGGAATAGAATTCATTAAATTACCCAATTATTTAGCTAGCCAGTGCCACCCATTTCAAAGGGGCGTCTTCATTTGCTCTACAGTGCCTAAGTATTCCGTGGCGTCTGCAGCTGCCGCAAAACCATGGCGGTATTTCCATACCATGGCCTTTACGGCCAAACCTAACCTATGTCCTATGGCGACTGACTTTTTAGCTGCCGCCTGCCACAAACCGATGGACCTTTCCCCGAGCATCGACTTCCTTGTTAACTTCGTGACATTGGCCAATCAGCAAGATGCAAAAAGTGACGTATCAATGCTCCCTTTCACATCCGCTCAGACACTTTTCTCACTCAGACAGATTTTCAAGCGTGGTCGTGAACATTACCTCGTTTCCGTGTTTTTGGACTCTATTCGTTAGTTTTCAGTTGTGTTTCGGAAACTTAAACATAAATCAGATAATTCAATGATCACTCTGTCTTCCTAAGAGTTTTAATTTAATTGCAGTAATAAAAAATTAGTGTAAAAATAGCTGTGATAAACTAGGCTAAAATTCATTTACCGGTACTTTTAAAAAACAGATTGTTGTATGCGATGAATCCTGATGGTGGTTCGAAACACATACCCCATTTTACATGCGCCAACTCGCAAAGGCACTCTTAAAATAGCCCCGAAAATGTTCTAATTGTAAAGTATAGGAAGAATTTTCTTGGGGTCAAAGGTCGGGGAAAGGTCCATGAGGAGAAAGGAGAATTCGTAGAGGAAGTTGAGTAATATAAAATATACTTATAATAGATTTAACTGTAGATCAGTAGAGAAATACTCATACCAATATCTGAGTAGGAAAAACATTTCATAAGTGTAAAGATATATCAAACAAAACAATCTTGTCCATGAGACACTGAAGTCATAAATGTACTGAAGCATGAAATAAGGGTAAAGTAATACATGTTTATAAAGAGTAGGATAGGATAGGATATACATATTTATCCCGGGGGAGAGGAAAGCCGCTAAGACGGCTTATCCATATGGCGAACCACGGCCTCTCGTCCGGTTTCCATTCGAAGTCGGGTATGGGATTAGTTATTGGACACGTAGTGGACATACCGATCGTTTCAATATTATGTTGTTGTTGTTCCTGTTCTTGTTCTTGTTGTTCTCGTTCTTGTTCTTGTTCTTTGACACGTTTTTAAAAAGTCGCTTTTCTCTTCGAATACTGGACCAATTGCTTTGAAATTTTCAGTGGTTAAAGATTAATTTTTTCGCTAGAAGGCTATTACTTTTGTTTATTCTTAAATTTTATATGAATCCTATGAGATATGATATTTCATACAAAATTCCGCGGTATTTATTTTTACTCATGGGAACACTGTTTTACACTTATTTCAAGCGGTTTCGCGATCGATTGTCTTGCTCAGTACTTCAGCTACTGTAGGTCGGTTCTGGTAAGTTGCCATACCGGTGCCGTAACGCAGTGAAATTGACTTATTCCTTCCGCGGTATTACTAATGCTGCAATGCAAGTTTTATAGCCTATCGTATGCGGAACGGAATATCAGACCTACAGGTTCGGTACCGGTACTGGTAGCTCAGTACGTAAGTACGATACTGGTACTGGTGCCGGTACCGGTGTCTTACCACAAGGAAATTACCGTAACTTATTCTTTCACGGTCCTACCAGTGCAGTAATGCAAGCGTTGTAGCACTTGTAACCTACTATATTTGTTTATTTTGATGAGAGTCTACTGGAAACAACATAAAATTTGAAAGGGAAGAATTGTTCTGTGATCAATTATCTGTCCTTAAGTGTAAACAACATAAAATTTGCAAGGGAACAACTGTTCTGTGATCAATTACCGTATATGGCCTACAGTGTACAGGTAAGATGCTGGCTGACTGCTAACCGGTACTGGTAGCTCAGTACGTAAGTACGATACTGGTACTGGTGCCGGTACCGATGTCTTACCACAATGAAATTACCGTAACTTATTCTTTCACGGTCCTACCAGTGCAGTAATGCAAGCGTTGTAGCACTTGTAGCCTACTATATTTGTTTATTTTGATGAGAGTCTACTGGAAACAACATAAAATTTGAAAGGGAAGAATTGTTCTGTGATCAATTATCTGTCCTAAAGTGTAAACAACATAAAATTTGCAAGGGAACAACTGTTCTGTGATCAATTACCGTATATGGCCTACAGTGTACAGGTAAGATGCTGCCTGACTGCTAACTCAGTACCGCTTGACACGTTTTTAAAAAGTCGCTTTTCTCTTCGAATACTGGACCAATTGCTTTGAAATTTTTAGTGGTTAAAGATAAAAATTTTCTCCAGAAGGCTATTACTTTTTTTTCGCTATGACGTCATCAAATTTATGTGACTCTACGTGTCCATATATTTGAGCATAGCTCTCTTGTATTGTTTGTTTTCGGAAGCATGGACTTGGTGGTGGAGGCAGCCGTAACCGACCAGCGGTTACGTGAACCACCCAGCGACGGCGAGGAGTCCAGCAATCCTCTCGCACATAACCATCCCTGCATGTGATTCGAACCTGCGAACCCACGCAGAGTAATTAGAGGTGCGGTGGCGAGCGTATTCCTAACGCTTAGCCCGTTGAGCCACACCGCCGCGCCGAGTACAAAGAGGATAAGTGATTGCGTAACTGTTTTTTAAAATTGGGATATGTCAAGTCTTTAATGCTAATAATGCTAATAATAATGCTTTAATGCTATTGAGTAGATATAATTCTACATGATGAATTGAAATCTGGTACATTAATTTAAGAATATACCGTTAATACTGATTACGGAATACTGAATAGCGCTATAAAACCATGGCAAGAGCTGCCGCGGTAATTTCATTATTTTTCGTGCGGTTTCGTGAAAGTTGCGATAGATATCTTATCATTCCGTGTGAGTTATGCAACTTTGGAACCTCATATCTCATGAACCTTATATTATATGCATTTAAGTTTTATATTGTTTGAGAGACAATCTAAGAGACTAATTATAATTATGAGATGGAGATAAAATGTCGCGATTATCATACAAAAATCGACAAAATTGAAAAGCGTAGAATTTTTTTGAAAAGCTTTTGAATTAAATGACAAAAACTTCGATTTGTTCTTGTTTTAACCTAATATGTCATCGATACCTTTGCAGAGGTTAAAGATAGCTTTCGACATTAGATAGAATTTATTGTGCACCAGTAAAATTGTATAAGTTATTCAATCAATGTTCTCCAATTCTTGACATGTCTACTGCGCCAACTTGAGTTAAACAACAACGTTCCCTAATTACTTCGTTACGCAATTACGTCGCAACGTAGAACGTTCCGTATGAAAAACACTTATCGCTTTCCTTCGCAAGTGTGAAACGTCATTAACCTAATGCATACGTTTAAATCATGTACTATTTGAACTGGTATTATGATACCTGTTCACATCATGCCGAAAGTTTAAAGCCTGCGTTTTACATTAATCATTCCAGAAGCTGATGAAATGAATTTTCTCGGAAAAATGTTTCTTAATTTAACGAGCTGTTGCAACAGTTGCTCCAAAAATTATAGAATGTAAACGATCTCATGGCTAGCACAATGTGCGGCCTTATGAATTTCATAGAAGCATGTACATTATAAGGTACAAAATTTAAAAACCAGCCGCCGAGATTGGTGTTGCAGCTCTTATCAACTTATTATTGGCAGGATATTTCGATTCTCTTGCGTCGGAAAACGTAAAATATTTACCAGGTGATCTAGCGACGCCATCATGTCTTCTACGTTCTCGTTGATAAAACTTAATTGTAATTTTATCGATATCCAACAGTGAAAAATTAGCCTTGATGTTTTCGGGGGAACCCTATGAAGACACGGGGTTCAAATTGTTTGTTTGTTTCTATGAAAAGTGCCAATCCCGATGAATGCCCACAATCGTTACTAACTCTATTTAGGTCTTACACACATGATAAATATTTGAAAATTGATAGTTTTACTCAATATTTAGGCCACCCATCCAAAAAAGCAATCGTATTTTTGCGCGAAGTATAAACTATATTTAGCGCCAATATTATTGCCTTTCATAATATATGTTCGCCTGTTACTTTTCTGACAGATAAAGTTGCTTGAAATATAATTTCCCATCTTGTCACAACATCGCTTTTAAAATTTTGAAACGTTTTCTTAATTTAAGGTTAAATATTCACGCAAAAGAGGAGACAAATAAAATTATTGAAAAACGGTATGCTAGAATAAGCTAGTAGACCTGCGGCAAGAGCTCAAGTCAAATAGATAATATATTATTTTATACACTCCAGATTATTAGATGTTCTTGTAAACTTGATATACGCCGTTATCCTTCATTCCATGCAGCAGTATATTTTTTAATATTATTTTGGCAATGCACACCTTGTTGAAAATTTGCGATACGCATATTTTAATATCATGACATGTACCGCAAAAATAGTGCAAGTTTCTGTTGTATAATTTGTATTGTAGTTCTGTCAGTTTGTTAAAATAGGTTCTGTGCAAGTAGCGATACTTACATCAGAAATTTTATAATAATTTTATAATAAAATGTGTATCTTTTTGTTCAATATTTTGGTCTTATTGGGTGTTGATTTATCGAGTGAAGTTGGATGACTTTAACCTTAACTTCGTATATGCTGACCATACCGCCGAGCCGAGTTATCCGATAAACATCTGCGGATAATTAATTTTTCAGAAGAATGTTCATTCGTTTTGCCGCTGCGAAAGTTTGGTCCGAATTATTGAGCATCGTTTTTTTTTTATTCAGCTGCTCAACGATCGCAGGTTTAAATCACTGAGTTAGGATCATACAGCGGTAGAAATCATAAAATGGCTGGTGTGACGTCACACGAGCGCTAATAACGTTACCAATGCATGTCCTCACTTGGTTTATAGTCACTTTGGTACAGGCAGATTACATTGTAGCATTGATTGTAGCGAGTACTCAACGATTGTTGCGGTGTATTTTAATACTTTTCACCACTTATTGCTGATAGTGCATGTTGCTTGAATCAAGGTTGTTGCTCGATTTCATTTCCTTCATGATTGTTTTCATGAAACGTTTTATGCGGAAAAGTTGAAAATGTATTTCCCACCCTCGCTTAAGTGTGGTGTTGCTCGTCTTTGTTTTATCGTTTTTTTGTTAGTTTAAAATTTGGTTCCATCGCATAAACTCGTATTAAGATTTTAAGTATATTTCGCTATCTGTTATTTGAATCAATTCGATTTTGCAAGTTTACAATATACGAACATTTGGCACTACAATCATTATGTGCTTATATGACCCCTGAAGTAGTCAATTGAGGCTTACTTCGCTAAAGTACGTTTAATAGTACCGAAGAAAGTAAACGCAGATATAGGATCAATTTATCCCATCATCACCATCATGCTAATTGGTCCTCATTATTGAAATAAACAAGGAAGTCGATGTTCGGGTGAATCCATTGACATCTTTATGATGATATTCTCATTGGGTTTGTAGAGGACAGGCACGAGGACAATTCCGGTCGTGGGTTCAACATGCAAAGACGTTCGGGAGGGAGTATGGTGGAGCTAGGGTTAAGGCAAGGCATCTCAACCTTATCCTTTGGCAAATTTAAAAATAATATCTTCGCAACTGTAGACTGTTTATTCCAGTGTGTATATATAGAATGAAATATGAACACAAGAATAGATGGTCTGTCCGCAGCGCCAGCATAATAAACATCAATTGCATGAGAGAGTATTCAGCAATCCACTAACTATGTGGTCATCAATCGTATTTTTCCACGTAGCCCACTGAGATAGCGAGAGATTAAAAAACAGAAAAAAAAGTTTTTCTTGAAGTGAGATACCGCGATCCATTCATAAAAATAAGTCGCACCACTTTCGCACATTTACCGAAAGATACATAAGGCGGCTTTGCTGGAGTAACCATTGAAATGATCATGTAAACAACGTCTAATAGGAAATATTTTACATCTAACAACAAATAACTTAGGCTGCCAACTGTAAATAGCAACTATGCTTCAAAACCAGCTGTTCGCACATCAGGTTTTCGTACAAAATTATTCTACCCGTCTGACTCTGCTATGCAACAATACAAATATGAAACACCACTTTTTCAGTATTTAGGCTGTGAAATTTTCTAATTGCTGTAATAATAGCCTACATTCCTTCTTTCGTGTATCCGAAAATCAATAGTTTTCTACCCAATTTCAAACACAAATCCAATAAAAACATTTGTTGCATCATTTCATTGACATCGTTTGCAAAAAAAGCACTGGAACATAAAGTGAGAATAATAACACATTGTGAATGGTCAAATAAATCAAGCTACTTGACACACTTCTATAAATCTATAGTCAATTTACTGGCATTTTGAAGTAATTTTATCATGTAACATAGCCAAAGTAGTCAAAATTATGTTATTGATGAGAAAGTCGGAAAAAATTGAATTGAATATTTCATTCAAATTACTGAAAAATGGTAACAAGAAAAACGATTTTACAAACAGTGCACGATATATTAACATAAAATAAAATTGCGAACGAATAAAGCACATAGTAAAAAAAAGAGAATTTTATCCTCGGCGAACCACGAAATGATAATTATTATTTGCAAAAAAACTTTGATTCAATTATTTGGGTTTCCTGACTTAAAATAGAGAAATAAAGAAAAAAATGTCCCCTCTAGATCACCATAGTTGTTTGTAATACCAAAGGATAAGACACGATATTAGAAACATCAATAAATTCAGTATTTTAGCTTGGTATAAACCAGATTAGAGTTTCATAAAAAGATTTATATTTAATCAGAGAACAATTTCTGATTTGAAGGCAAAAAGAAGAATAACATGTTGTTGGCCAATGCATCTATACACCACAATTACAACTTTCTCAACAGTGAAAGCTGCAAAATAAATTGTACTGCTGAATAAAAATGAAATGGACTGTCATTACATAGTTAGCATAATATTTATTCAACTTGCTACAAAATGCACTTAAATACCTTACGCGATATGTGAAACGGCGCAGAGAAAAAAGAAAAGAAAACTTACGAGCGTCTGAACGAATATGTTCAAAAATTACTACGATTTAAGCTTTAATAATAAAAAATAACTAGAATAATATTAATTAGAAATCTACATCAAATATTGCTGAACAAAAAGCCGCTTGGCGGTAGCAAGAAAGAGTAAGAAAACAAATCAGTCCTTCTTAGTAAATGTCTGTCTTGTCATTTAGTACGAGATATTCCATTTTTGCATCTGAAAGACGGAACAATGGATACAATAACGGCATCCAAGTACGTTTGAACTTTTTCGGTGGGGAGAATCGGTGAGGGTACTGGAGGGCCTTCCATATCACAACAGTACACAAATTTGTAAAATAACGTCAACCCAACCACGTGTCAGAGTACGAATTCTCAAGTACTTATGCTGGAGTAAATTTATTTCCACGTTAACGCTTTCCTTTTACAACATCTATCAAAGAATAGTCGAACTTATACGTTCAATTTTGCTTCTTAATCCTCGGACTGGACGTTATTTTAAATGAATGCACCAGCCCCTTGGCCATCGAGAGTTGGAACTAGCAGTTTCAATCAATTTTGTCAATAAATGGTGTCTGTGGAGTTGAAGAGCTACGATTGATGGATCTCGCTGCTTTATTCTGTATTTTTGTAGCACATCAAGCAGATTGCCAAACTTCAATATGCATCTCTTTGTAACATTTCTGTGAATATTTGTGGCATAGCGCCATTTGGGACTTCGTTCTTCAGAGTTACAACGCGTTCTGAACCTGAAACACAATATTGTCTATCATGAGTATCATTTTTACCACCAAGGCATGGGATATAATTCTACAATAGCGTTAGATTAGGCAAGTGTCAGAAACCATTTTGAATGGGAGAAGCTGTATAAGTCTTTCAGAATCTCAGCCAAAAACATTCAGGTCAGACAGATGGTGAAACGAGGTAAAGCGGCATTTTCGCGACTTCGTTGTGTATACAGTCGTCAATTACACAAAAGCAAAACGTTCGTCCCTTTAAACACGTTATAAACCACACATATCACAGCACCCATGGGAAATAATATATTCAATATGGTTCAATAAACTCTAGTCACCTTCCATGCTTATACTTCTAAGATCGGTGATTTTCATCAGCATTTTTGCAAACATTTGTGGCTGCTTTGGTTTGTTTGATCTGGTATATATTCTCAGCGCTTCGAGCAACGTTTCTTGCAATTTTTCTACTTTATCTGGATCTTCTAATCCTGGTCGGTCTGTAAAAATGATATAAATACATGAATTTTTATGTTAAAGAAGTAAATTATAGCAATATGAAATAATAACAGTTGAAAATAGAATCTTTCAATTTTGAGGAGTATTAGATACAGATAAAACTCGAGCTTTGATAAGAAATAACGTTTTTTATATTGCAGTCGTGGCAACTGTGGATCCGTTTTATGTTCAATTTTATCCATATCATCGAACACAACTGAGGTTCTATGAAGCAGTTCTATTGAAGACTACTATCCACAAACACAAGCTTGCGTGCAGTGCCAGCGGAACTGATCTTACATTATAAATGACAATTTGTATTCAGATTTGTGAATGTTTTCTGCTAAAGGTTACTTTTAAATAATGCCTTCGATAGCCTTTTATATATTACATAAATTTTTATTTTAACTTTTGAAAAAGGAAAAACCAATTTTGAAACATCGGGTGAGTTTAAACACAAGTTTTGTTTCATTATCTTTTGCAATTGTTACTAAAATAGAAAATAAACAGGTGGTGTTTTAGATAGATTAGCATTGCTAATGCAACCACACAAACCCCGCCAACCTCACGGCGCTTTGGCGACGACGCGGAACATCGCCGGGCAACATTGTTTAAAACAAATATTTTTCTACAAATATCCACATCACAATCGGTATGTATATTGCTTTAGTTTGACACTTAGCGGGTACATCTGATTAGATTGAAAAATTATGCGCTTGGTCGTCAACGAAGCAATCATTAAATTTTGACAGCTACGGTCAATTGAATTCATAAGATAACAAAAAATGCAGAAAAGATCTTCATCAAAAATGTTGCAAGCAAACCAAAATATATCAACCTTCTTGAACTTTATCTCAATGGACGAATTCTTCTTATCAAGCCTAAGCCAACAGGCGACAACATCGGCCACGATTATCCAATGCTCAGATAAAAGCAAGCGATTGTCTTATAAAAATGTTAAACCTTTATCTCGATATACATCGGAATCTAATGCGCAGAAAATCGTCGTTTCAAGGATTCAAATTGGTCGTCGATAAAATCGCAAGACGAAAAATTCACCTCAACAATATTCAATTGAGTTCATTTGTATTTTCCATTCCAAAATATTTCATATTCACGTTATGTTAGATTAAGTACAGTTCGCACTCAATCAAAAATTACATTTAAATAGCCAAACACATGTTTATAATTGAGAGCTGCATTTTATATGGAAAACGGATGCGACGGTTGTGGTCCTTTTTCGAAACAAATACGAATTGCAATCAAATGCTAATTAAAGTAAAAGAGGATGTGGGGTTCCCTTTACCCAATAGGCATCACCAGCGCACATAAAAAATCAGTTGCGACAGCTTTAAAATCTGTTTTTAAGCGTGACGAGTTTGACGATATCACTGAATATCACTATACCCACGTCGATAATTTAAACAAAAACGTAATACAAGTTATACCATAGTCGAGTCGAGTTTTACCATAGTCGATTTCATCATCCGTAAAATATGATTACATGTTAGTTGTTTTAGCTTATGAAATGCGTTGTGAATATTTATTGAGATGTTATATAACTGTTTATTCTATAAGGACGAAAGTATGCAACATTTAATTACAACTTACGGTAGGGTAAGGGTGAGTTGTATGAGCAAAGTCCTGTCATGTTCGTATTATGTTTAATGGAACTCCAATCACGCTTAATACTTCGGTGAAAAGCTGTAAGCGTGCTTTATGAACCCTTGGCACGATACGACACCGAAACATGAGACCATCGAAACAATTAGTTATAAGACATGAGGTGGGACGACACTGAAAGTCTATCATTACTACCTTTGTTGGAGTTTTTGTTTTAAAAAAAGGATTGATAAAGCGCTAGCCCTGACATCGGCAAACAACGGCCCACGGGCCAAATCCGACCCGTTGAGTAATTTGGCCCGCCTGATAGTGCCACAACCAAACTAAAAAAAAATTGAGCTCAAGGAACTTGTTGAGATTGCAATTAAATTTAGTTTAGTTCCGGCACGAGGCCTATCGTTTTCCTCTTTACTTTTGTAACACTGTAGCGTTGCTCATAAAATGTAACTTTTTACGTTACACTTACATGGCCCGCCAGTCTACGTGGGCAAAATTTTCGGGCCTTGGTCCAAAAACTTGGTTAGAGTCTAGCCAGACGTGAAAGACCATCAGGGCCAATACCTTTGACCACACAGCAGATGGCATTCTGAAATGTCGAACCTTGAAGCTAATTTGCTTTTCATTTATTTGATTAATCACTTACCGGGACAGATAAGGCATATTCCACATAAAAGCGAGGTCTCTGTGTCATCGAGTTTCAGAGCCATGATATGTTTTGCAAAATAGAAAACGGAATCTGTGAGTGGTCCGAAACCACAGCATTCAACTTGATCGCGATTCATCGTCAATCCATCAGAGAAGGTCAGTGTTTCATGAATAGGATCATAACTGTTGCATATGCGAAGCATCTGAAGAGAGAAATTGAGGATGGAATGAACGTTGACGTAAATCATTTGAATATTTTCAAACGACTTTGCATTTTAGGAGCTAGTTTGAATTTTTGCGGCGTTATTTTCCACTGAGAAACTATAAATTGGACTGTGTTCGAACTCAAGAGTAATAGAGTTTGATTTTGCGCTCACAAACGTTTTTCGAGCTAGCTTTTATTTCTAAAGAAATACTAGTGGCACGCATCCTAATCGACATAATTGTATTGACACAACTAGATGTGTTACCTAGAACTTGTTAATAGAAAGCCCAGTGTAATAAAAATATATAAAGATTTGTAGTTTCATTCCTATTTTTGTACACAAAGAATATAGCACTGTATGCCATAATGCCATTTTACAATACTGGTTACTAAATATTCATTGTTGAAATTGGAACAATGTTTATTCAGTTTCGGCTTCACCTAATGAAAATGTCAAAACTAATAGAAATTTGACGCTGCAGTGCAGAAGATACTAGAAATCCTTTCTGCATCATAAAAATATGAGACTAACCTACAATAATACATTGAGAAACTTGCGTCAAACTTCCATCCGGCATTTCAAACATAAAATCATGCAAATATTTGAACTTGAAATGCAGAACAAGCTTTGAACGTCATGTTTCAATTTCGTTGGCAACTTTCTCATTGGAATAACATTATAGACAGCTTGGCAAGCATAGTTCACCGATAAAATGCTACGTTTATGGAATGGCCGATCTATGAATTAATTTTGCAAGCGTCAACCATGTGACTGTGGTATCAAATTGCTGACATTTGTGGTCTATTCATTTTGTAGTCTGTCAATATGTCAATAAAAAAAGATATAAATACATTTGGTAGATCGCGACATTGTGGTCGTCTGCTTATAAACTCGAGTTCATCGACTATTTTATTTGAAATTTGAAAACATTTTCTTTTACAAATTTATAGCCATAAAGACAGTATTTTCTAATGCTATGTATGTACCAGCAAACAATATTATCATCTATAATATACAGAGTGTCCACAAATTTTAAACATACACCTTAATCCTGAGTTTTGGCCAGTGGATGTATAACTATGTTTGAAACAGACTTGCATTCAGAAGCTTGCATTCATGTTTTGCTCTCATACGTTTCGAAACTTTTCCAATATTTAAAAAGGCAACCGAAAAAAAAACAGAGTAAACCTATTTGAACATCTCACTTATAAACCCATCTCATTTGTCATATTGGTCTTCATCAATTAACGTACCGAAATGATCTCTTCCGCGTAAAAATTTTGTTTAAATTTTTATACAAAAGAGAAAATATTTCCATGGAAACAGCTAATATACCGCATTCATTGCAAACAATTTGACGCTTGAAGTTTCCCCATTTTGGTTCATTGGAAATTTCATATTCGGAACAATCACGAAAGAAAAGCGTGTAGCTTGTAAGAGGACAAAATTTGCTCATAAAATTACCTTGAAGTTGTTAAATTTACCTGAAAATAACTGTGCTGCTCTTAACGAGGGCCTAGTCAAGCAGTATTGGGAATGGTAAATATTATAAAGCAGTATATTTTGATTCACAATTCAGTGGGATGGGGAAACAGGTACCCAAAATAAATAAGAAGTTTCAAATTGAAGTTGAAATATAAATCTCACCAAAATATCAAGGCAAGCTGCTTTGAGCATGATGACTTGATCTGGTGTTGAACATTCATCAAATCCTGGAACTCTTTTTGCGAATTGGACGATATTGACGATACATTTTGCTGATCTATCACAGAACTCATCCCATAGATTCAAGTCTACCGAAGCACCTTCGCTAGGAGCGGGCGTAGTTGTCTGAAATTTAAAATTATAAATTAACAAAAATTAGAAGAAAAAAATTTTTTTTTGTAGAATTTTGAATATAAAAAAAAATAAGAAAATGATTTCACGAATCATGTCTTGAATGTTAAATTGAGATTGAGACGTCAAACACAAAAGCGTTGCATAGTGAAATACTATTTAAGTATTCTATATCCATTTCAGGACAATATTTCTTTAAACTGTTCAGAAAGGATCGTATAGTAATTCCACTACGACTCAGGCTATCAGATTTACGTGTATTTAGCAATTGCGGTGTGATGGTATGGACAATATGTATATTGTAACGTCGATCTCTAAGCATTTCACTACGACCAAGTTTATATATCAGCTGTCACTGATATGTCAGTTGCTACGACTTGGTAGTACCGGAATCTCTCGGCTTCTACATTGTCTTACTCTACTCATTGGTAGGTTGCTTCCCCTTCATGACTAATATACAGTACCACAATATTCTTCAGAAATTGAAATCACATATAAATAGAAAATTCGTGTCTTTAGTCACGAATATCAGTTACAGACCAAAAATAGAAATGACATTTAAGAATGTCAGGCGACGTCTACCTGTGTATTTGGTTAGAACATAAATGTATTAAGACAATAGAATACACCTTATACTATACGTGTTTCTCCGATATACTATATATGTACATTCAGAAACCCCCTCGTTAGAGCCTGTTAAAAGCCACTGCTACCAACCTATATGTTATTATCTTTGGCCAATTTCTAAATCTCCCAAGAATACTATGACGTGATCGTCTGGAACTGTATTTGTTTCATTAAACGTGTTAATAGTATGAGTATTCGGAGATATTTATTGACTGTAATATACGTAAATTTACATGTTGCTGGAAAACATTCGAAAAATTTTGGCTTACGATCATAAATGTATAAATGTCATCGATCCACCGCAGCTTTTGCTTTCATTTTATCTTTATAATCAATATAAAAATCTGCGAATTACTCAAATGCCGTCATATCACTCGTAAATTGTGGTAAAGCTAATTCAAAGGGTTTCGTTAGCACAATGATCGAAGTATGTGCTAGCGAAGAACGATTGTAATATCAGCCACCTTTAAAAACATGCCTTTTTAACAATGGGTGCATTTAAATTATAGGTTCGCCCTATCAATAATTTTCTGATCTGTTAGGTCGTCGTCCTAAGTTTTCATTGGTTATTTTCAATCGATTATATGGCCCATAATATTTCAGGTGCTTGAAGTTAGGAATAAAGTTGTACATAAGGTCCCAGTTTTTCTCTCCATAGAGATCTTGTTGGGATGTTACATGTACAACGTGAGCATTTAAATCATGGGTTCCATCATATCACTAATTTTCTGATTTTGTTAAGTCGTCGTCCCAAGTTTATATTGGTTATCTTCAATCGACTATATGGCCAATAGTATTTCAAGTGAAGTAAAGTGAAATAAAGTTGGACCTATGGTCGGTCCTAATTTAACTTTCAATGGCCCTCTCCGTAGAAATCGTGTTGGGATGTTACATGTACAACGTGTTTGATTCTTTGGGCAGCTGCACAAATCTGTACTGCCAATCACATTTTGCTCATAAAAAATACTCACAGAACAAAATTTGTCCACGTCTCTAATGTTGACAAATGTCTCGACGTGTGCTCTCGTTATCTTGTCTATCAATTCACGAATTTGCGTCATGCTGCTGCTTGTCAGGTCGCCGGAGGGTCGAAGAGGAATGCACGACTTTTCTTTGCCTCGCTTCTTTCTGCGATCGTTGCGGACGGCTATAAAAGAAAAGAAACATGAAGTTACGAGTCAAATTGATATTAAAAAGCGTTAAAATGCTTTCATTTTTCTGTATTAATTTGTTATAACAAGCTTTTTCAGTGAGGCTTCTCCTATAGGTTGTTATAATAAACGTGAAATAATTGGAATAGTGATACATTAGATGTGTTCTACCAATCAAATGCAATGCGTCCGTCACATAAAGACTTGTTCTTGGATGATTATTGCAATTCAAAATTACTTTAGCCTGAAAGAAAAAATGCTGAAAAATGTGGTTTGGTATGTTTACAGCTTTTCATAAGACATAATCATAAATATCGTCTTCTGTTTGCAAGTTGGGCTGCATTGTTTGGTCTTGTCCGGATTTGAATTAACATGTGCAACAATGTGAAGCACAGTACTCACAATGCTGATATACGGAATAAAATTGCTTGTGGTTTTATCTTTTGGGAATCTGAATAAATATTTCCTAATTCAGTTCAAGTTCAGTGTTCAGTGTTTAAAACGAGAGCTCAAGTCCGAGGTCGAAACATAATACAATAAAATGTCGAGTGATCGATGTGATAAATATTGTATGTGCTTACCTCTATGATATAACGGAGTATTTATTTCATAAAAAACACAAGTGCAACTCGTTTATGAGAGGTAAAGGGAAAAAAACGGAAGAAAACACTCCGGATTGCCTACAAAATCAGATATTTTCGACCCATATTTTTAAATACTATATAAAGCAATAGGGCAATGGTATGCGCAAATATATGGACAAGAAAGCCAAATGACTAATACGGCTCAATGTCAGCAAAATTCGAGGCAAGTGTTAAAAGAGTTGCGCTGAATTTCATGTGAAGACATGCGGAATGTCATGAGACGTGCCCGTGAATTATGAATGTCAGCAAAATGAGTTTCATATTACAATCTCCGTTATCAGATTTTTATAGAAAACTAAGATAATACACATATGGGAAACATGAAAGGAAGGTTGAAAGGTTAAAAGAGTTTAATTACAATTCTCCAGGGCAAGTTTTGTATTAGAGGTAGTCCATTCTTAAAGTGCCACGCATGGGGCAATATTAAAGAGTATGCGTTATTCATATCCCAAGTCTGCCAAGAATTATTTACGGAATGTGATTTGAAGGGGAAAATACAACGTTTGATAGATCTGAATCCAATTTTCAACCACGTGATTGCGTGGCGTCAGACATGAAATATTAATCTTATACCACATAAAAGGCCGTTCAAACGTGGGCCAAGAAAAAATACAAGGCAAGGGTTCATAACAGGTCACCTATAACAATAATAAAGTTCATGGTTCATTCAATTGCAAAACATTTTAGCAAGACAAGACCAGGAGTAAGTGAGTTTCAAAGTTCATGTATGTATGTGAACATGGAAAGTATGACATATACGCCCACATGAAACGTTTCAAATAACTTCTATAATCCTGTCCTTATATCTCTTCAAATAAAAACCCCTTTAAATATATTCTGTTGCCATCAATCTAGCGACATCATATTCGACTGATAATGAAAATTAGAGAAAGAAAATTCTATTATGATGATCGCTACAGCTCAACTCTCCCACGCATCAATAGACATACCCCTGGCAGGTGGATTTTTTTTTGACTCAGACCCTTCTATATAGCTAACATAAAGACGGTCAATCGTGTTTTAATATCCGGACTAAACCTTACGATAGCACATCGAATAAGAAAGCAGCCTAACACCTATCTACATAAGTGAGCTCGGTGATAAATAAATAAAAAGCGTTGAATTGAAAGCATAAGAAATAATTTTGAGCAATGCTTCCCAACATATTAAAGCGTCCGATGATGTAATAAATCATTACAATTTCGGTAGAATTGACGCATTTTCACATCCGAGGATATCTTGATAATGATCTTGTAACCAAATTCCGTTTTTTTTATTCCAAATAAGAGTAATCGGAGTCACCAAGTAAACAAAATGTCACGGGTAACGTGAGAAGATAAAAACATTTCAAACTAAAATATCATATAAAGCATGACCTATAAATTTGTTTTGACCTTCAAAATGCGACTTCGCTTTGGCGTGAATAATGCAATCTTCAATCCGAAGTTTCGTTAGAAGAGCATTTGAATACGGAAACCATGTAACCTATATAGGTTATAGCAGATAACCTATGCAGCGCATGAAGTGATATTTTGTGAAACAATGAATGTCAGGTCATATTTCGATTTTTAAAGTTGCAAGGGAAGCCAGATAGTGCACTGGGCACTCGTATCTATATTCAAAACAAACACAGAGACACTAAGCACAGCAAAGTGCGAAAGCTAAAATATTCTTTTCGTTTATATATATATACGAAAATAGACATCTTGCTTGGACAATTATCTAGGTTCTAAAGCAGGGGTGGGGAATGTTTTTGAACCTGGGGCCAAAAATTTTGCCTTCCTAGACTGGCGGGCGTAGCGTGTAGGTGTGACGTGAAAAGTTACATTTTATAAACAATATTTACAAAGTTACAAAAGCAACAGTGAAAAACAATAAGCCTCGTGCCAAAACTAAATTTAACCAGATTCCTGGAGTTAATTTTTGCTAAAACATCAAAATTTGGTTTCAGTTATGGCAGCATCAGGCGGGCCAGACTAAATTACCCAACAGGCCGGATTTGGCCCGCGGGGCGTACTTTGTCCATGTCTGTTCTAGAGGGATTATCCCGAACTGGGTGATAACTATAAGTGCAAAACTCATTTCCCAAAAAATACTTCTGCGCGGTTTACAACTTGAGAAGAAATGATCAAGTCTATCAGCAGAAACACTCTCAAAATAAGCATCAAAATTTTCCAAAGGTCAAAGTATAGGATGAATTTTTCTGGGGTCAAAGGTCGGGGAAACATCCATAACAGGATAACTTTAACAGTATCCTTCCCACCATCATGCATGAAAAAAAAAACAGTTAAAGAAAAAGCAACTCACATTCTCTCAGCATTCCAGATTTGATGCATTTTTGAAATCTGCAATACTGACATCTACTTCTTGTTTGTTTGTTGATGACACACGACTTACTGCGATGACAAGTGTATTCTACATTCTTTTGTACCGTTCGACGAAAGAATCCCTGAAATTGAATACAAAACAACTATTTCAATTACAGCCCCATGAGGTATTTATTATAAATAATTACAATGAAATACTTGTAGCAGCATTGGGACGTCTCAATTGCTACAAATACATTTTGGAATATTACGAAATTATCGGTTGAAAATATATCTGTATACACATATTGTAGTGATCCTGTGGGATGGAAAATTATTTTTTACACCTACATTCCTAGAAATGCAATCGAGACGTTTTTTCAATTCACTATTTAGAAAAGGAAGGAGAGCCCACAACGTCATTACACCAGAAACTGATAACATTGGCCATCTTTTAAGGTCAACAGTCAATGCTGCTGCTTATTTGTCAAGTCAATGCATAGTTAACGATTAACGAACGATATCTATGGATAAATTGAGGTTATCATTTACCAAGTGGTAGACGGTATAGGCAACAGTTAATAGTCTACTACTCCATATCAACCGGGGTGAGGTGATCGGTTTTACTCAAACGATTGCACCGGAGTACCCTAGCCACAGAGTGCACAGTAACGCAGTTTTAGTAGCAGTATAAATGAATGAGCCTTTATAAAACAGAAATATTCGGAAATACGAAAATTCATTGAATCTTCTCTCTTATGTTATATTTTATATATATATAGGGCAATGAAACTTACAACGGCATAGACAAATAAAACGGAGTAAGTATATAGACTACTACTTATATCAATTACTGCTGTCGATGCTGTAGCTTTGAAAATGTCGTTCAACGGTAGACTCGTAGGAAAAGCTGCGCTTGTAACAGGAGGAGCGAGCGGTATCGGACGCTCCGTTTGCCAGGTGTTTGCACGAGATGGGGCCAGTGTGGCTATTGTAGATATCAACGAGGAAGGCATAAGGGAAACTCAATCAAGTCTCGCGACCGATCACGGTAATGCACATTTCGCAATCAAAGCTAACGCCACTTCATCAAAAGAAACGAAACAAGCTTTCTGTACAGCGGAAGAACAGTTGGGCAAAAAGATTTCAATCGTGGTGAATTGTGCTGGAATAGTTCGAATGGCATCATTTGATGAAATGTCTGAAAGTCAATTCGATGATGTTATCAACGTTAACCTGAAAGGTACCTTTCTGGTGTCACAAGAGTTTGTTGCGTCTTTCAAAACTCCGAACGCAGAAACCACCCGTGGATCATTGATAAATATGTCAAGTATCGCTGGAATTCGTGGATTCCGGACGATTTCAAGTTACAGTGCTTCGAAATTTGGGGTGATCGGTTTGACTAAATCGATTGCAATGGAGTACCCTCGCCTCAGAGTGCGCAGTAACGCAGTTTTGCCTGGATTGATAGACACTCCTTTAACGAAGAATACAGACGATAGCACTAGGAAGACCCATTTACAGAGAATACCTATGGGACGAACAGGAAGGTCAGAAGAAATGGCGAACGCTTGCTTGTTCCTTGCTTCAGATGAAAGCTCTTATGTAAATGGGGCGTGTCTAGAAGTATCCGGTGGATATTACTGTTAACCAAGAAGACGAAATAATTTTATTATTCTATATCTGACTGTTTAATCACATCAAAATCTTATTCATTATACACATTTGATTGTAGAAAATAAATGGTATTGCAGTTACAATTCTCATAATAAACCCGTATCCAATCATAGGCTCAAGCAGTAGTATATTTTCCTACCTATGGGTTTTTCCTATTCTGAAAAAGAGCGAAATACTGATTACCAGGATATACAAGGTTTTGCTTTATGCTGAAAGACATCAGAACAATTATTCAAATTTTGTTTTCTATTCAAACAAGAATATAGAAATTTCTCATTGGTACAAGTGAGAAACTGTGAAATATTGCGACTATGAATGAAAACTCTTATATAAACGGCGCGTGTCTATAAGAAACCAGTGGATATCAGAGTTAAATCAGAAGATGGAGAAGATTTTATTATGCCATGCCTATCCAGTTTGATCAATTTAACCCAGTTTTAATAATGAAATGTAAATTTGAAATCTTATTCATTATAAACATTTACGGTAATTGCAGAAAATAAAATATTGAGATTGCAGTTCCAATAATAAACACGTATTGCATCTGAAGCTTGAGGAGTAATATATTTCATCGTATATAGCTAGATTAGTATAGGTTCTTCCTATCCCGAGGAAAAGCAAAACCCTGATTATCAGGATATACCGGGTTTTGGATTTGGATAAAAGGCATCAGAACATTAAAAAAACTTTTCATTCGAACAAGAATATTGGAATTTCTCGTTGCTACATGTAAAAAAACAGAAATATTGCGACTAGAAAATTAGCATTTACCAAATACCAATGGTGGTTGGTGGCTGCCCGTATGAAATGATGTATGTCGTATATAATGATAACACTAAAACTAATATACTCTTTTCCGCATTGAGCATAACAAAGCCAAGCCTTTATGTGGAACATAAAAATTCTTTGCAAACAAGTTTGCACACAATAAATGTAAATGGGCCCAATTGGTATAAAACGCTGTGTATGCTAAATATTGTAAAGAGAAGCAGTAAAATTATAATGGTGACAACCATCAATGAATAAAGCCTTTATAAAACAGCAGCGTTTGGAATTACGAAAAAAATCGTTGAGAGTTAGCTCCTACGTTATATTTTATATATAGGACAATGAAACTTACAACGGCGTAGACAAACAAAACGATATAAGCCCGAAGTATATAGACTACTACCGGTACTTTACATCAATTATTGCCGTCGATGCTAGCTAGTTTTTGTCAAAATTTTACTGTAACTTTGAAAATGTCGTTCCACGGTAGACTCGTAGGAAAATCTGCGCTTGTAACAGGAGGAGGGAGCGGTATCGGACGCTCCGTTTGCCAGGTCTTTGCACGAGAAGGGGCCAGTGTGGCTATTGTAGATATCAACGAAGAAGGAATAAGGGAAACTCAATCAAATCTCGCGACCGATCATGGTAACATACATTTCGCAATAAAAGCTGACGTTACTTCGTCGAAGGAAACGAAACAAATTTTCCGTACAGCAGAGGAAAAATTGGACAGAAAGATTTCAATCGTGGTGAATTGTGCTGGGATAACGAGAAAGGTTTCATTTGATGAAATGTCTGAAAGTCAATTTGATGATGTCATCAACGTCAACCTAAAAGGTACGTTCCTGGTGTCACAAGAATTTATTGCGTCTCTGAAAAATTCCAAGGAAGAAACCATCCGTGGATCTTTGATTAATATATCGAGTTTGGCTGGAATTAAGGGCTTTCCGAATCAGTCAAATTATTGTGCTTCAAAATTTGGGGTGATCGGTTTGACTAAAACGATTGCACAAGAGTACGCTCGACACAGAGTACGCAGTAACGCAGTTTTGCCGGGATGGACAGAGACTCCTTTACTGTCAATTAATGTAAAAGAGAGCGTTCAAGAATCGATTGCGCAGGAAATACCTATGGGGCGAATAGGAACCCCAGAAGAGATAGCGAACGCTTGCTTGTTCCTTGCTTCGGATGAAAGCTCTTATGTAAACGGGGCGTGTCTAGAAGTATCCGGTGGATATCACTGTTAACTCATAAGACGGAGATAATGTTAGTATTCGATACCTCGCTGTTTAATCAATTTTACTCGTTTCCAATAATAAAGTGTAAATTTTTGAATCATATTCTTCATATACGTTTGATTGCAGAAATAAAATGATATTGCAAATACAATTTTCATAATAAACCCGTATTCCATCAGAAGCTTGAGCAGTATTATATTCCAACCTATATAGCTAGAATAGTTTGGGTTATTCCAATCCCGAAGTAGAGAGAAAACCTGATTATCAGTATATCTCATGCTTTGGCCTGGTATAAAAGCATCAGAACAATAAACTTTTTTTGGAACTTGAAGAATGACAATTTTTTACTTGAAGAATAAAATATGATCTTTTCGTTGCTATATGTGCGAAACTGAAATATAGCGACTATAAAATTGCAGAAAAATTTCGGTTAGTATTCACCAAGTAACAATAGTGGGTACCATCAGTTCGTCTGTAAGGCATATAATAATACCACCAAAACCTCTATACTCTTTACTGCATCGAGCATAGCAAAACCACACCTTTACTTGGGACATAAAATAGTTGCAAACAAGTTTGCACACAATGGGTTCAAATGAACTCAATTGGTATAAAACGCTGTGTATGCTGAATATTGTGAAGAAAAGCACTAAACTTTTGTGATGACAACCATCAATGAAAACCCCTTTATAAAACAGGAACGTTTGGAATTCATTGCATGTTCGCTCTTATGTTATATTTTATATAAGGCAATGAAACTAACAACGGCGTAGTCAAATGAAACGGTATAAGCTCACAGTATAAAGAAGACTAGTATTCGTAGTACGCCGCCGATGTTTCCCAGCATTCTGTCGAAATTGCAGATTAACTTGGAAAATGTCGTTCAACGGTAGACTAGTAGGAAAGGCTGCGCTTGTAACAGGAGGAGGGAGCGGTATCGGACGCTCCGTTTGCCAAATCTTTGCACGAGAAGGGGCCAGTATGGCTATAGTAGACATCAACGAAGAAGGTATACAAGAAACTCTATCAAATCTTGCGACCGATCATTGTAACATACATTTCGCAATCAAAGCTGACGTTAGTTCATCGAAGGAAACGAAACAAATTTTCCGTACAGCGGAAGAAAAATTGGACAGAAAGATTTCAATCGTGGTGAATTGTGCTGGGATAACGAGAAAGGTTTCATTTGATGAAATGTCTGAAAGTCAATTCGATGATGTCATTAACGTTAACCTGAAAGGTACGTTCCTGGTGTCACAAGAATTTGTTGCGTCTTTGAAAAATTCCAACGAAGGAACCACCGGTGGATCTTTGATAAATATATCGAGTTTGGCCGGAATTCGTGGATATCATAATCATTCAAGTTACTCTGCTTCGAAATTTGGGGTGATCGGTTTGACTAAAACGATTGCACTGGAGTACGCTCGCCACAGAGTGCGCAGTAACGCAGTTTTGCCGGGATGGACAGAGACTCCTTTAGTGGCAAAGAATGTGAAAAAGAGCGATCTGGAATCGATTGCGCAGGAAATACCGATGGGACGAACAGGAAAACCAGTTGAAATAGCAAACGCTTGCTTGTTCCTTGCTTCGGATGAAAGCTCTTATGTAAACGGAGCGTGTCTAGAAGTATCCGGTGGATATCTCTGTTAAATCAGGAGATGGAGATAATTTCAGTGTTCAATACCTCACTGTTAATTTGACTCCTTTAATAAAGTAATAAAGTGTAAATGTGAAAGCTTCTTCATCATACACATTTGATTGTAGAAAATAAAATGGTAGTACAATTCCCATAATAAACCCGTATTTAATCAGAATCGTTGGCAGTATAGTATATTTCTTCCTATAACTAGAATAGCATGGGTTTTTCATATTTCAAAGAAGAGCGAAACCACGATTATCAGAATATACCGGGTTTGGGCTTTGGCTAAAAGGCATCATTATAATTAATAAAATTTTCTTTTCTATTTGAACAAGGATATTTAAACCTCTCGTTGCTATATGTGAGAAACTGAAATATTGCGGCTATAAAATTGTGATGATGATTGTTTGCTAAAGGCGTCAATGAACTTTAGGTTTAGGTTGCCTGTGAAGGCTGTAAATAATACCGTGTATTTATCGGACGTTGCCTCGTTAAAGAAATCAGAAATTAATAATAACTCAAGATATGGGAAACATATTCATATGAATATTTCAAAATTCTACAAAACTGGAGACTTCACTTTGATTTACAGCAAAATATTAGTGTATTTAATAAACCTGCAACATTAGTGGGTCATCTCGTGAAACACTTTATCGTCCTATAGCACCTAGCTTCCCACACGCGTAACCTTGTGATTGGTTGACCCGGTATTGCGTAATAATCTACATCAGGACCTCGTTTAGATGGCAACCATATCGTAGATTTAGAGAGCCCGAGTGCTGAGTCAACAATTGTTGCTCTCTTTACGGAGTAGGCTTCGAGATGGGTATTTTTTGTGATATAAATTTTATCAGCGTCGCATTCAATTTCATTCGAATAAAAATAAGTAATTCCCATACGTTTTTCGTAATGGTTTGAGGAATATCTCATTAAAAAAAATTACAATAATGAAATTAGGTCAAGATTTCGTGGCCTCATCTTCAAAATAGTGTCCATTTTACCCCAGCATGGACAAAATGAAAATCAATTCTTCGCATAAATGGCTATAGAAAAAGATAAATTTGATCAGCTCTAAATTGGTAACTATGACAATTCATTACTTTAGAAGATCTAGGTATATATAAAAATACCAAGTTTCAAAACATTGATTTTTTTAACCCTTTTACTATTAATAATTGAAATAAAACGTAAAAATTGTGTGCTGTATTACAATACGCAGATTTGCTTAACATAGTTAGGTTTTAAGCGAAGAAGCCAAAGATTTTTCATAGGCACATCGTACCCTAAAACGACGTTTGTCCCAATTTCTAGGTAGATAAATATCGTTCATTGAAAAGTAAATATCGGATTTAATATTAAAACCGATACTCTATAAAAAAAATGTTATAAAATAAACTATTTAAGATGACCTGTAGTTGAAAATGATAAAACTGAGAATATTTTTGAGATTCATTGTTTTAAATAGAACATTATACATCCGACAGGAGATGAATTTTACAGACAAATGCAATCGATTTTACGGATATTTTTCTCGTATGTACATATTTGTACTAGGTGACGCGGGCGTGTATCTCTAATGTATATTTGGCAATGGGCGTATATCATATCCCACCAATAAGCTTGGATTATTTCGACACGTAAACGTAACAAACGGGGGTCTTACGTCAGTGGAAATGTTTGCGTATAACCGGAATACAAGAATTTATTTAAAAAGGTTTAATTTCACTTTTTACGTTTTGGTTCCAGTGACGTTTTTTACCATAAAAATACATATATGATATTTACCTTGCATCCCTCGCAAGACGACACTCCATAATGATAACCAGATGATCTATCAGAACACACCATGCATGGTTTATATACTCTTGGTGGAGGAGAGGGAGACGTAGCAGAACTCATCGAATCGTAATCAGAAGTACCATCACTATAACATGTGATAACGTCCTGGCCTGGAACAAAAGCGATATAACTCGTTTACTTTACCTATTACATGGCTTAGTTTCCACAAGTTTCGTTTCGTTACAACCTTCCTTTTTGAGCAGTCCTATCCATACAAGGGCATTGGGAAAGGAACTCGAGTATCGGGAATCGCTTTTTCGCAGATAACCCTTTTTCGAAAACAATAAAATATAAAACAATCGAAATTTTTCAATTGACAAAACAAAACTAGACGACGCTAGAAAACGCCCGTGTTTATGTGGGTGACTATAGATATAAAATGGAAACAACAACAATCCACGCCGTTTTTCACAATTTTACGATTCTATAAAACAAAGATGACGCCACACGGCTAAAAAAATTCCTATTTTTTATACAATTATATTACTGTCAAATTTTATGGACCTATCGAACCGTGAATGCGGTAATTCAAAGGGCGAAGTCAAAACCCAGCGACGCTGATATGGGCGCGAGATATAACGTGGCGGAACCTCAGTTCAGACCCATTATTCCAAATTGATTGATTACGACTCGCTGTTTAACTTGGTTTTTGTCGGCCCTCCAAAATTCCGATCGATCACGGGATAATCTTGAGAGTGAAATTTTTGAATCAGTACGTAACTGCTATTTGGATGTCTGTGAATGAATAAGTTGGTTAACCCCTTACGTTATTATTGTATCGTGAAATCGCATGATGGTCACGTGTTTCAATAAGCGTTAAGCATTTACATTAAAAATTTGATTGCAGGCTTGATCTAATATAGTATAATATAATAGTCGAAGAAAATTCGATAAAATGTTTTGTGTCGTTAAACAGCATCATTTAACTAAGTGAATAATCATCTTGAATGTGCTATTTATTTGGTTTCCGCGGGACTAACGACTTATTCTTCTTCTGCGCCGGTGTATTCGTATGCATATATTGCAAGGATGCTTCGGCAAGATTGAGGACGAATGTTCTAAGACTAAGTAATTCAAGAATCATGCTGCACAACAACACAGATATATATTTCTGTAACATTTCGTCTGACCAAGGTCCTTTCATGTAGACCGAGGTTGAAACGTCCGTTTGTATAATGACTATAACAAAGGATTTCACCACATGCAACTCATTGTCAAGAAATACCAAACCTTGCATAAAATCACAATGCTCAAAGCAATACGCAAATTTATATCAGGCAAGCGAAACCGCGTACATCATTCAAACCCAAAATTAATAATCCATCTTTAAAGGAAATTGGATTTGGACATAATTAAATAAAACAACGTATTTTATTCTCAGAGGGAGGTTTCTTTTTAAGTAAAAGTACTCGACCAAGCTCACGTGCTTGTCAACAAGGTCATGCATCATGCTGACAATAAATTTATTACGAGGTCAGACGTCGGTCAGCACAATATAATTATATTGCTGCTTGTAATCATTTCATTACCGTGCTGAGCGTCGCAAGAAAAAGGTCACCAAAAGTGCGCGTAGCCATTTTGCTTGTTCTATTTTGAAATTTAACCGAGACAATCACGTGTCCTTTTGCCCCGGAATTGAACTGTTGACCCGCGAGTGTACCCGCTAAAACGAAAGCATAACATATAATTTGCGGTATCTATTAAACAAAAATTTAGGAGGTAAATTATAATTAAGTCAAGCATATAAACACTGACGAGGCTAAAGAGAATTGACCTTCCTGTTAATGGTGTTTCTTTAACGCGTGTCATGTGCGACTGACCTATATGACGAAATTACCAATTTCTTGGGACTATAAAAATAAATATGGGCCATCTATAGGCTTATAATTGAATTCTGTACTCCCCGCATATTCAACCTGTATAGGACCGTTGTTGGATGTTATTTACTGTGTCACGACATCTTATGCCCGATCTCATAGGGCTATACATGATATATTATCCTTCAACTGACATCATTTTAGTCGCATTCAAATTGACTTGCAAAGCAATAGAAGCGGACGCCGTGTCCTCGATTTTCGAAGGTTATACCGTCATGCCCTCTCTTCACCGGGCAAAAGTTGCTTGCCACCGCGCGCGCCTTCAATGTTTTCCTGTCTTCATCGGTCTCGTAAGGACAAAAAAAGGTTAAATGACTGGTAAATAAATGCTGAATGGAGGTCAGAAATCAATTACATTATTACAGCGGGTTATTTAAGGGTCAAATATACGTGTCTACTAATATTCTGAGGTCGATTTTTTACATTTGAAATGTTCAACTAACTATCCTAATATGGGCAAGTAAGATTTAACACAAACTCTACATTAAACCGGGCAACCGCGTTTTATCTAACATCCGAACTTTAAAATAAAGTTGAAAAAATCCATTCAATTAAATTACGGGTATTCTTGTTTGACATCTTGTAACAGCCTGGTAAACTGCTTTGCCCATTTCAACTTTATGAGAGCCCAACTCATGCAATACTGGACTATAACATTAATTGGGCGTATGATGTTGCCTGAACAACATCTTGACAATCACTTGGTAATGGCTGAAATCTTGTTTCAACATGTTAGTGAAAATCATAATAAAACGGGGGATATTTTAGATAGTTTTACGTTACATTGATATAAATCCAGAGCCGAAAAATATTGATATAAATACAGGGCCGAAAAACATTGATATAAATACAGGGCCGAAAAACATTGATATAAATACAGAGTCGAAAATTGGCAAATTTCGGTACATGAAATGATTCGATTATTCTGTTGCGTAATATGAATGGTATCATATCGATTATTCGTTTAACATTTATATGAATATCAAATTAGGAAGCTAGATATACGACAGTGCTTACAAATAACAGTTAAGCTGTTACAGACGATGAATTAATGGTGCAAAAATTTAGCAACAACCGGGTCGAAACGATAATGTTTTTGTAAACAAGATGATGACATTTTCAAAGCAATGTTGTCACGAATAAAATCGTTCAGTTTTGTTGGGTGTTGTTTTATGCTAACCGCTTGTCATCAGGCGTACATGTTAAAAGGGATCATTCGGCCCCCCACGAAGACTACAGCTTCTTCAAATTTATAATTTTGTTCCACGTATGATAGCCGTAATAAACGGCTTATCATAAAATGCTTCGAGAGTGTGAATCTGAAACTTCGGTCGTCCGAATTTATCATTCATTCTCAGGGATGATAGATAGTCTTAATAAACGATATGCTATGAAAGTTAAATTGTATTTTTACTTCATAGAAAATAATGTACAACTAAATTTCACTATAGCAAAGAAATAAATAGTACAATGAAACTAATCGTAGTACGAGTATATTCTTAAAATATTATAACTATCCATATGAACCAGCAGAAAGAGTGCGGGTGCGAGATACACATAACGGAAAAGTAGTAAAAATCAATGACGTTCATACCACAGACTTCTTTTAAAAAGATTTTCAATGGTTTTAAGTATTAGCAAATGCGTGCGCGCATTGTCGATAACGATCGTGAATCTGATAAACCGAAAGATATATTTGACCATAATAGTGAGTCAATGTTTAATATCATTCGCGGGTTCCAGTGCCACGCCGTACTTTCTCGCCCGAAGACTTCACAAACGTTGTAGGCAACAGACATTGTAAACGGGTTTAATATTTACATTGACTTCGCCGTCGCCAATTCAAAGGAATGGTAAATACACCAAATAGAAGGTTATCTGCGTGACAGGGGGCCGAATATGATACCGTTGGAGTACGAATTGACCACGATATACGTTTGCTAGGTTGGTTGTTTTAATTTTCATCAATTTCCTAAAACGTAACAATGGAACACTGCAGAACCACCCGCCTAATGCTAACACCAAACACGAGTATGTGTAAATAAGGCTTTTCAATAAAAGTCCTGCTTTTGTGCCGCCGTTCCACAAGTCAGGCGTGGGACACAAGTAATCCCGGACCAAGAAAATGATTTATGTATACGCCGTGTTTAACTGTTCTCATTTCGTAGTAAAATTCGGATTAGTTGCTTTGAATCAGACATACCGGCATAAAGATAATATAGTTACCCACTGGTTAGGTTGCGCGGGCGTTATGTGAGACATAAAATACTAATATTTGCACCTGTCTCAATGGACTTCCGTGTAATAAATCAAAAAAACTTTGAGATTTTATCAATTAGAACAATTTATATGGATATGTTGGCGCCGACGTAGATAAAGCACGTAGGATGGTTTTAGGATGTTTGAACTCCCAAAGTTGACGAAAACGTATTTCAGCAGTTTCACATAAAAAATATTATCTAATTTTTTTTCAAATGACATAACCCAGTATATAGTGGTAAATTCACAGTGCAGTTGCCTTCATATTTTATTCAAGAGTAAACTAAGCTTTCTATTTGGCATGATTGGCCATCGGGTACCGTAGCCGCAAATTACACTACAACCATTGCTGCCCACACAATAACTAAAAATTACTATAATGTTATCCATAGCCAGTACCATGATACCCGTACATCAAAATAACTATTTCTGCCTATAGCCAGGTATGAGTGTGGAAATACATAAAAACCATGATACACAACTTACGTTGACTTAGCCAGTCAAAAGCTGTTGTTTGATAAGGAAGAACTCTTGCCGTAACTTCATTGTCAGTTCGTGATCGTTCCTAAAAAGTATAACAGTGAAAATATTAAAACAATAAAAGCACTGTATGCTATAAGAGTATACATAGTAATATAATAAGTAATTTGAGTCGGATTGCAATTATTGGGTCAGTAATGATTACAAATTGTTTCGGTTGTTGTGTTCCTTCTACTTTTTGCAAGACCACGTAATTTCTTCACATTATGAACTGAGCGTAGTCCAATTCAATTACGTTTTAACATATGCTATTCCACTCCTTCATTACTCATTAGGAGGTTGCGAGCTGCGTTTGCCAGGTGATTTGAGGACATCGCTTGGTAATGTCTCATCTTGCTAAATGTGGCAAGTCGATACATGAAGCGTATGAACATGTGGGACCGCATGAAAACGCGTGAACATTGTTCGCATGAGTTGTAAAGGTTGGCTAAAATAAGACTTTTTTTCTTCAGGTGATGCGAGGTCGAATTGGAACGAAAACAACAGTGCCGTTAGAAAGGGAAGGCTCGACAAGCCTTTCGTAATATTATTGTCCGATGGTCAATGGGGGAATTTTGGATTGTGTACTGTATATTACATTAGTAGGCCAGAAATATCCGAAACCAGATGACAGCTTCACGCAAAATAACCCTAGAAACTGATACAGTCAATCGAGTTCAAATTCAAACCCTTCACAGAGTCTTAAAGCGTTTCGACTGGTTTGTATCACTGCAATGGCGACCGAAAAGGCACGTCCGGTAGAATGTTACTTCGTTAGACGCGGTTAAGGTTACCATTTTTACATCAATCAGATATACGAGAGCACCGGTGAACGAGAAAGTGAAATTCGATGCGAATGGTGACCCACGGCCCGTACAAAAATATCGATTTACTGATAAGTATTATTTTTATAATACTCATCGGGCATGACTTAAAGAATAAAATAACAAGTAAGCATCTAGGGAAAACGCGTACAAACCAATTATGAAGTAATTTGCAGACGTGACTCAAGACACGGTCTGTCACTCACGGGGTCAATCTAGTTCACTTCACAAGCAATGGCGATATAATGGACACGCGTTGGATGGAAATCATGAAGTTCGAATAGCGTAGAGTTATTGTAGAGTTTCTGACTCGATTGTCACTACTAGTTTCGAGTTGACAATGAATTGAATTTGAGAGTTTTGTTTTGAAATTTCTACTAAATATAGAGTTCCCATAAATAAAACATATTTTTCAATAATACATACAGGAACATTTATTTGAAACGAGTTGTAATATAATATGTTAAAATGGTACATAAACATACCGTTACACGTAATTTATCCGAATTTTCTTTCTTTATTGTGAAACACGCGGCTCTGTTTTGCGCGAGTCCGGAATGATTCATGACTTCCATATTGACCTTGTGAACAATATGCGTCTGGCAACGACGTTGGAAATGGTGTCAACAATATTGTAAATGCTATCTGTATTCTAAATGCTGTAAAATAGACACAATTTTAGTTCATTAAATATGAAGATAGTTTGAACATAATTCATTTATGGTTGTGTGTAAAAGTTGAGTTCGATCAGAAATATACTTGTGTTAGTAAACAGTTCTCTTGGATCGCATGAAATATGAATGATATCAATATGGCTATGTAAAACATTTTATGTTTCTACGTAAATTGTTATCATATCTACAAAACAAAGTAGCCTACATAGTAACAGTCTGTAATCACGCATAAGCAGCGACACGTACAGTCCTAGCAAGATGATGTGTAGCTAGTTTTAGTAGTTTAAGTTTTATTCAAAGCACCATCTCCACAAAATCCCCACAGTAATCTATTTTCGAAGTTTGCCAGGAATGTGTCGTGGATTAGGCGCGTTCCTAAAGCCCACCTGACCTACGGCCCATACTCGAACAACATCTTCCAGCGATCGATCTTGAAGCCCTTTTGTGACCTTTCGCCCACAAGATTGAATGACCTCATCGAGTAGGTCATGGAACGGTACTTAAAAACAACACGACTAAGCGAAAAACGCTTGAAATGGCAATACTGAACAACGGCCATTTTCAAGTCGAGGTCAATAAGCTAATCGTTCAATCACGCGGGTTATTTCTTACAAACGCTGCCAAAAAAACATCACAGAAGTTCAACCTTTTTCGACATTGCACAAACAGTTATGTAGTTTTTTGTGAGACACAAAAATTAAAAGGAAATGTCAACAGACATCACTCTTGTAAGTTGTGTATGGTTTATAAATTATTTCATGCATAAAATCTTATCTTTACCGTTCATTTTCTGCTCGAATATATGTTCTAAGTGGTATTGAAATAATCATCAAAAGCTCAATCTGAAGCGTCTAGTTTGACCGCAATATTTTACAAAAACCGATGAAATAAAAATCCTGCACGATTTAAAACGCTACAAAATTTGTAACTAGACACAATTCAGCCCATGGTAAAATTGGACCGACTTCATCTCGCCCGTTTAAACTGGAAAGAAATGACCTCCAAAAACCTAGAAATACGTGACTTATTTTACGATAACGACATTGACCAAACAGTCGAAATACCCAGATAAGAAAGGCCGAACAGCGATTCATCATCTAATTCTATCGGCTGACGGCTTTATGATGTTATCCAAACAAAAGATCGAGTATCGTAAGGAAAGAACAGTGGACTGCGTATCACGTTAAGACTTTCCAGTACTATATACGAAATATATGCTCATAGCTTATATTGGATATTAATAATTAACTGTGCACTTATATGACACGACACCCCGAGTTTCGTCAACAATTCTTTCCTACACGGTAAATATCCGCCATGTAACAACGTATGACGGTAACTCACGAAGAAGAACGAAAGTGATCGTCTAATTTTAATCTCTCTGCATTATAAGAGTGAAATCAGTTAAAATCTACCCAAACTCTTTGTAAATTTCGAAAATGCCGACACCGGCATTCTAATTATTAGTCCACCACTATTGATGAGCCAAGACTACATCAGATTCCAGTACGTTGGGGTTCAAAATAGACTCTTGATTCTTTCATATGCTAATTGTTTCTGTATACAATCGCTGTGCTTTATAGAGTCGGTTTATATTCTTATTCATAGACCTCGCGTGTGCTAAGATACCGGTATGGTCCTACCTCGTAATGTGCGCGATTGATTTTTGGTATGGGATGACACTGCACGAATTACCACTCCCGAGAACCACATTTGTGAACGAGACCTATTTCCCTCATTGAGAACACTACACGCATTCTAAGTTAAGACCTGAATTACTGTATGCTAGGGTTCAGTACCGTGTACACACCAATTCCACGTATTTCCTTGTGAATAAAACTGCCAGATTTGTCAGTGCATTTAAAAACTTACAGTTGAAAGACAAGACTGTGTATATAATAAAACCAGTTAATTTCCTAATTTAAGTATAGTATAGTCAATTCCCATTTCACAATAGTATAAACGACGAAAATAAATAGTCGATTTGCTAACGAATTCCTTCACTCTTGACAACACTGCCCAATCCACTCGGTAAACCATTCACGAAACGACCGCTCGAGACAACGACACACAAACGTGTGAACGCTCGAACAAGATCGCGTCTTTTTACGAGGCATCTGTATCTCTCGTCTGCTGTTGACGATATTTGACCTCATACGCCCGAGTTGAGCCGTGTTGTACTTAAGCAGACAAGGTTCACGAGTCTGTCAACGCACAACAACCGATAGCGTCAGGAAATATATATTTATCTGAAAGCAAAAAGCTGTCAGTTTGGGTCGCTTTGAACGGATGTAACAAAATGGTGCAAAAACATTTGCTTTGTGCGTCTCGCCTACTAGAACATAATTGGTGCTGGTACAAAAAACGCTTATAAGCTAGGGTAACCCTTTTATAAGATGTTCCTTCGTGTTACACAAATACACGGTCATGTGCTCAATTCTCACAACAATACATAATTACGTATATACATGCTTCCCTAATTGCTAGTATACATTTCACACAATAGTAAATGGCTATAATATATAACTGTATATGTGGAAGCCATATACTTCAAAACATCAAAACATTGCGATTCCTATAGAATAAATAAAAAATTAGAGCTAAACTCAGGGAAAATGATGTCCTTGTCTTATCATACTTAATATTCGACGAACATAGTCATTGCGTACACAACAAATAACGCGTCACCGCCGGTCGTGTCACATCCTTTCCCTGCATACCTTCTTCAGCATACGAGTGAACCCGATAAGTGCGTCTCAGAAAAGGCTAAATACTTGACTTTTTGCGTTCAATTTGGCATTTGCAAAAGATGACGGTTATACCTAATTATATAGGATATGGAGTAACGCGGAGATGTAATAGCGTCAATTCAAAACATGTGATGTTTCCGAAGCAGGGTACCGGAAGCACACTTACCTGTTCGAAGAAACAAATATCCAAGCCCAACTTTGAAATTTTATCAATTTTTTTTCAAATTACAGAAAAAATTTGACGAATTTGTATTTTGACCATATTTCCATCCCAGGTGAAAGAAAATTACTGAGATTTCACGAGGCTTCGAATAATATTGCATATAGAATAAAGAAGTACAATGTATCTTAGTGCTAGTATAAAATATGTTGTTTTCTTCTCAGTTACATATATAGAATATATATTTGCAATGATAAACCCATACAACCCGTCTATTATTTTATGCTTATGCGCATTGAGTAATGATATCGACAAATGCCTACGTCGTAAGAATATGAACGCCTTGTTCGTCCCTATAACGCACTCGAAACTAATAAACAGTAGGTGATCATCAATGGGCTTCAACTAATACACGTCACCGAGACGTGATTTATACATGTTCTATGATTGTAATGGTTGGTGATATCATATTGACATACCCAATAAAATCTGTTGTTTTCTATATCACCTGAAACGCGGTTCTGGAAATCAATGCGGCCCCGAATGACCCGGCTTCACAAGACGTCATTTCCGACCTGTTAATATTTATTCGTCGTTTCTTGTAAACACGTTCCTTCGCTATGTAGATCAAATCTACGCGACAAATTTGGCTTTGTTTTTTTACGAAGATAGTCTATTATATATGCTATAGTATACTATGCTAATGACATCGAACAACATCATATTTCTCAGTAAAAGAACCAGACGTGCGATGTAAACAAACCTTATACAACGTACACTACAGATAAAAAATTCAAATCTGATTCCCTTTTTCTTTATTTAATCGCGAAAACATAAAATAGTGAGTGAAAGAGAGACTAAAACATTAGAGCAGGGTCGTCCAACCTTTTTGGCCGAAGGGCCACATGTAGTTTACTAATAAGTGCGCGGGCCACTTAACATGGTAAATATGTTTTAGTTTTGGTACACTGACTACAATTTAATGAAAAAGCAAACAATACCCTCACGCCAAATTTCACAGTTATAAGAACAATAAAAACTGTTGCTTCCCAACTATTAATAGGTCGTCATCAGTGGTTATTCCCGAAAGTTTCGCCAAAGACAAGGCAAGACGCTTGATCATTTTCATCACAGCTACCAACAAATCAATTCCCATAGTCACGCCCTCAATTGGGACAATGGCTGCGAGATCTCCGGTAATTTCAAAATCATCATTACCTTCCCGCATGATGAGCAGTAGACCTGATGCCAGTGCTTTCATCAAGCGCCAAGGAATACGATGGAAACTTTCCCGCTAACGCCTTTTTTATTTCCGGACAGAAAACATTGGCACCCCGAACAATACATTGCTTAACGAATTCGGGGCTCGTTTGGAAGGGCTGGTAGAGCGCATTTCAGGGGAAAAAACAAATCGTTCGTTTCACATCTTTGCATACTTTCATCACTCGAATAATAGTTATATTCAATTTTTTTATTCAATTCCTAAAAATACAGCGCGGGCCACTCGAAATGCTTCCGCGGGTCACAAATGGCCTGCGGGCCACGGGTTGAACAACCATGCCTTAGAGGATGATAATTGTGTTTCCGCAGGAGACTCCATGGTCAATGTATAATAAGTAGAAATCACTCTACAACGAAGTACATTTCTTGTGGCGGCTATCCCTCTACAATGGTACTCGTAAATATTTCTGACAATACAATATCTTGATTTGCACTACCTTTCACACATACAATGGTTTTGATTGAAAAAAGTTAGATTACTTTACATTCCTAAACTTTGATTTCTCTAGTCTATTATGGTTTGATAGGAAAATAAACATCTTCATATACTAAAAATCATAACCCTGATTTAACCTGTATAGAAATACATATATGTACTACATATACGTTTATACTGAAAATACACGCATCACAAAGTGTTGTCGATTCCTGGTTTAACGAGATATGGTTCTTAGCGTACGTGAGATAAAAAGAATACTTTACAGCTCACTGTTATTATTTAAAAAGTTCATTTCCGTGCCCATTTTATTTAGTGCGTACGTGACTAGACCAAGAGTGCAATAGTAGATTTGCCAAATATGATCTGCTGTA